CGCGCCAGCCGCGGCGGCCATTGGAGGGTGAACCAACGGCAAAGGAAGACCTTTCTCTCTGTCTCTCTCTCTCACTGTCCACTCTGCCTGTCAAAAAAAAAAATCGGAGGTTTAAATGCCATCTTAACTGTTAAAATCATATTAAATGTCAAGTCAACATATAGATGGGTTTAAGTGTAAAAGTGATCATACAAATAACATCAAGTGCCTGGTAATAACAACAGAATTAAAAAGGAAAGAAAGTCCAATATGGGAAGCAGTGCACAGAGCAGACTCCTAGAATGACATTCGCTGTAAATAGCACTCTGACCTCAGAATCAGCCCTTGAGGCTTCCTGGTCTGGCTGAAAGGCCTGTGAGAGCATTTCACGCATGGAAAGCCAAGGCTCTGGCAAAAAATATCCTACACGGAGGATCTCTGTGAGGCCTCAGTGGAAAGAAAGGTTCATCAAAGGAGGTATTCTTCTCTGAAGGGAGGAGAGAACTTCCACTTTGCTTATAGCTATGTCCAAATACCGATGGAGTTTATGGTCACAGAAGGCTTCCACAGCCTTGGCAGCCCATGGCAAGAGCCTCAGGTGATCACTGACATCATAAATAAGGGTGTTAATTGTTAAAGGAACAACAGAAGTCACTGTGCACTTACTCCCCACGTAGGACCTCCGTCCCCAGTGAGCTGTACTATGAGAATCGACTGCAAATGTTGTTCCCAAACTGTACTCTGTATGTTGTGTGTGTGCGTGGGTGCAAACTGTTGAAGTCTATGCTTAGCACGGAGTTGGTGCTCTGTATATGAAGTCAAACTAAAAATGAACCATAATGAAGAAGGAGATGGGAGAGGGAGGTGGGATGGGAGTTGGGTGGAGGGAGGGTGGGTATCAGGGAAAGAACCAGTGTATGGTACACATACCAGTGTATCTATGAAAAAATGCATTCATTAAATAAAAAAATAAATTTTTTTAAAAAATTGAATAAAAAAAAAACCCATGTTTTCTTAAGTCAGACACATGAAACATTTCGTGTAGGTTAGCTCATTCGTGCTGTAACATTAATATGCTAAATACAGGGGATGACACTGTGGCCATACCAGGTTAAGCTGCTGCTAGCATCCCATACCAGCACCAGTTCAAGTCCCGGCTGCTCCACTTCTGATCCCTGCTAATGGCCTGGGACAGTATCAGAAGATGGCCCACGTGCTTGGGCCCCCACACACACATGGGAGACCCAGAAGAAGCTCCTGGCTCCTGACTGTTGTGGCCATCCAGGGAGTAAACCAGCGGATGGAAGACCACTCCTTAGGTCTCTCCCTCTGCTTTTCAAATAAATAAACAAATCTTTTAAAAATGTTAAATACAAATATTACAACTGCCTATGCTAGTGGGTCGTCCAAGTCCACTTTTTTTTCCTACGACATTTATCAAAAGGTAGTGACAGAAAGGGAGAGGCAGGATGAGATGTCATTCTCCCACTGGTTCACTTCCCAGATGCCTGCGACAGCTGGGGCTGGGCCAGCCAGGAGCCAGGAGCCGGGAGCCAGGAGCTTCATTCGGGTCTCCTTTGTGAATGGCAGGGCCCAAGTACCGTCCACTGCCTCCCAGGCATGTCCGCGGGGCTCTGGGATGGGTCACTCGGGTGCCCTGATCCCACTGTTTCTGAAATCACCCTTTCACAACGCATACCATAAGGTATTTGGGGACCTCACTGTGGCACAGAGAGCTGAGCTGCCAACTGTGACGCCGGCATCCCATGTGAGCACCGGTTCCTGTCCCGGCTGCTCCACTTCCGACCCAGCTCCCCGCTGATGGCCGGGTGTTTGGGCCCCGCCCCCACGTGGGAGACCTGGATGAAGCTCCTGGCTTCTGCCTGGCTCAGCCCTGGTCGTCGCAGCCACTTGGGGGTGCACCAGTGGATGGAAGACTCTCTCTCTGTAACTCGTTCAAACAACAAATCATTTTTTAAAAAGAAGAAAGAAGAGATCTATGGGTCCTACTTGTGAAATCTGGTGGACAGAGCTTCTTGGGCTTGGCTTCCATGCCTCAAGATTTCGTAACGTACTTTAGCAACGTCTAAGGTTCTTCACGAAGAATCCAGCACAGCAGACCAAGTGGGCCCGTGTGCTAAGTCAACACCACTGAAATCCCACCCGGACGCTTCACCAGGCAAATCCAACGACACCAGCATCATTCCATGATGGGAAGAATCTTCGGTGTGAGGACCCTGGAGAGTCTGTGCTCAGTAGGAAAGCACACCCAGTTCACAACACACCCAGCCCTAGCCGCTCACCGATGTTGAGCTGGGTGGTTTTATTTTTTTAAAGATTTTGTTTATTTATTTATTTATTTTTATTTTATTATTATTTTTTTTGACAGGCAGAGTGGACAGTGAGAGAGAGAGAGACAGAGAGAAAGGTCTTCCTTTGCCGTTGGTTCACCCTCCAATGGCCGCGGCGGCCGGCGCGCTGCGGCCGGCGTACCGCGCTGATCCAGTGGCAGGAGCCAGGAGCTTTTCCTGGGTCTCCCATGGGGTGCAGGGCCCAAGCACTTGGGCCATCCTCCACTGCACTCCCTGGCCACAGCAGAGAGCTGGCCTGAAAGAGGGGCAACCGGGACAGAATCCTGCGCCCCAACCGGGACTAGAACCTGGTGTGCCGGCGCCGCTAGGCGGAGGATTAGCCTAGTGAGCCGTGGCGCCGGCGATTTTGTTTATTTATCTATCTATCTATCTATCTATCTATCTATCTATCTGAAAGAGTTACACAGAGAGAGAAGGATAGGCAGAGAGAGGCCTTCCATCCACCGGTTCACTCCCCAGACGGCTGCAATGGCCGGAGCTGCGCCAACCTGAAGCCAGGAGCCAGGAGCTTCTTCCAGGTCTTCCATGCAAGTGCAGGGCTCAAGGACTTGGGCCATCTTCTGTTGCTTTCCCAGGCCACAGCAGAGAGCTGGATTGGAAGTGGAGCAGCCAGGACTCAAACCGGCACCCATATGGGATGCCGGCACTGAAGGCGGCTGCTTTACCCACTACGCCAAAGCCAGCGCCCCCCCCCCTTAAAGCTGCATCGGGACCAGTGCTGTGGCACAGTGGGGGCCAGCGTTGTGGCATAGCAGGTGAGGCCTCCACCTGCAATGCTGGTATCCTATATGGGCACTGGTTCAAGAGCCAACTGCTACACTTCCGACCCAGCTCCATGAATGCGTCTAGAAAGATGGCCCAAGTCCTCGGGCTCCTGCACCCACGTGAGAGACCGGGAAGAAGCTCCATAATCTTGGCTTTGGCATGGCCCAGACTCGGCGGTCGTGGCCGTTTGGGGATTGAACCAGTGGGCAGAAGATCACACGCACTCTGTCTCCTTTCTCCCTGCGACTCTGCCTTTCAAACAAAATAATAAAAAAACGGCTGGCGTTGTGCACGGTGGGTTAAGCAGCCCCATGTGAGCAGTGGTTTGAGTTCTGCTCCCAGCTGATGCGCCTGGGAGAGCAGCAGTGATGGCCGGCCACCATGTGGGGTCCTGGATGGAGTTCTAGGCTCCTGGCTTCGTCCTGGCCCAGGTTTGGACGCTGCGGCCATCTGGGGAGTGAGCCAGCAGATGGAAGATCTCGCTCTCTCCCTCTCTGTAACTCTGCCTTCCTGTTTAGGACCGCGCAGCTGTGGTCCTCTGGTTGATACAGACGTACTGTGCACCCTGGGTCCCACTGCTCTCAGGTAAACTGCGGAGCCCTAGGGCGTTTCACACTCCGGAGTGTCCAGGGGAGGAGCTCAGGCCTCCAAGTCCATGTTTGTCCCCCTCTCGTGCTCTCTCAGGGCCAGAAAGGAAGGGCACGATCTGAGGGCGGCTCTCGGGGGACACTGGGACACTGCCCCCCCCAGGGCCCCGAGAACTGCACTGGGTGCAGACCCCATGGGGCGAGGTCTTGGCGGCCACAGGTGGGCCCACCAGCGCCCACTCAGCCTAGGTGCTGGCTTGCTGGGTGGGAGACCTGGGCAGAGGCGTTGACTCAGTCCGCACAAAGACCAGGGGTTCTTTGCCCAGGCCCTGGGGGCGCCCGGCGAGGGGGAAGGCCCTGCTGTTTTAACAAAGCCCCTGTCCCCGCGGCGGGATCCACGGGCTGGGCTGCGTGGGCACCGCGCGTCCTGGGAGAGGGTGCAGGTGCAGGACTCCTCCCGACACTCCGTTTCTGCTTTCCTTTCCCGACCTCAGACTGCCGGCCATTTGGACCGGGTCCTGCCCAGCTGACACGCAGCACCAGGCCTCCGCTCCGAACTGGAAGGCCCGACCCTTCGCCCGGTGCGGCGCAACAGCTCAGAACCGCCGAGCGCAGCGTCCCCAGGCCTCCTCCAGTGCCTGCGCGTCCCGAAACTGCCTCCCGTGGCACCTGACCCCGCTCACCCGGCACCCCCTGTCCGACCCAGCCCCCACCCCGGACGTCCTTCCTGACCACCTGCGGGCAGCCCAGGCCAAACTCCGGTGCCCCCGCAGCGCGCGCAAGCGTCGCTCTCCCCAGCGCTGAGTTTCACGGCCCTGCCCAGCGCACGCCATCCCTGACTCCGCGCCCGGGCGACGCGGGCAAAAGCAAGCCGCGAACCCGAGCGAACCGCACCAGCCCCGCCAGCCCCAGTCCCGAAGCGATCCGTGCTCCGAGAGGCAGAAACGGCGCCGCAGACCCGCGGGCCGGCCGCGCCGGGAAAGTTTGCCGCGGCGCCGAGGCGGGGCGCGGGCCCTGGGACCCCCGGACGCAGCCCCGGAGTGGGGCGCGGCGGAGCGGGCTGGGCCCGGCCAGCGGAGGGCGGGCGGGGGTGGGGCTGCCCGGCTCGGGGGCGGCGGGGCTCAGCCCGGGTCCGGGGCAGCGGGGCGAACGGCGAAGGGAGGCCGGCGAGGCGCGGCCTGGCGGCGGGACGCCGCGCCGGCGCCCCCTCCCCAGCGCCAGCAGCCCTGGGCACCCGCGGCAGGGCGGGGCGGGGACCCCGACCCCGACCCCACCCCCACCCCGGGGCGCGTCTCACCGTCGGCAGCGGCCCCTCCCGGTCCGAGCGCGGCCGCGACGGCTCCCTCAGTCTCCGCCGCTGCAGCCGCAGGCGTCGCCCTCGCGGCCCAGGCCCCTCAGGACACCGCGACCCCGGCGCCCGCTCGCCGCGCCGAGACGCCCTCCTAAGCGAGCCCCGTGCCCGCGCGCGCGACCCCGCGGGGGACCGGCCTCTCGGAACGCCGGGCGGGCGCCTCAGGAGCATGCGCCGCGGCGCCGCGGGGGTCCCATTCCCTCAGCAAATCCGTCTTCTCCGGGTCTTCCCGGCGCGGCGTCCGCTGGCAGCTCGGCCAATCGGCGTGCGGAGGCGGGCCCATGGCTCGCGCAGGGGGCTGGCCTAGCCCGGGATTGGGCGTCGCTTCCCGGGGGCGGGGCGCTCTACGCCGACGCCGGGACCCCCGCGGGACTTGACTGGCAGCACCTGTGGAGGGGCGGGCCTCCCACGCGGGAGAACCTGGTCTGGGAGGCAGCGGTGATGGCTCACGCAGCCGGGGCCCGGCCACGCACGTGGGGGCCTGGACGGGGTTCCCTGCCCTCAGCTCCGCAGACAGGAGCCCCTTCTCTCAAACACGCACAGCCGTAGAAGAATAAATGCATCCCGGGCCTGGCACTTTCCCACGGAGAGGAAGGAAGTTCTCATGGGCCTCGTTCAGGCTTGCCGCTCACCCAACCCAGGGCCACGCTCTGAGGTCACCATCAGCATCGACCGTAATGGAGCAGTCGCAGGGCCGGCTGTGGCGCGCGCGGGTCGAGCGGCTGCCTGCCAGGCGGCTCCCGGCTCCCATTCCCTTCCAGCTCCCCGCCCACGCGACGGGGACCGGGATGAGTTCCGGGCTCCTGACTTTGGCCTGGCCACTTGGAGAGTGATGCGGTGGATGAAGTCTCTCTCTCTCTCTCTGCTTTTCAGAGGGGAGCGGGAAGCCCTTGCAGCTGAGAGCCAAGTACAACATGCAGAAAACCACTGTTTTGCAACCCCTGGAGTAATAACTGATTCTGGCAAAAACCATCGGACAGGAAGGCGACAGTTTCCTAAGGACCAAGTACTGGGGCCAGAGTTGGGGCACAGCAGGTGCCATCTGCGGTGCCAGCATCCCATACAGGCACCGGTTCAAGTCCTGGCTGCTCCACTTCCAATCCAGCTCCCTGCTGATGCACTTGGGAAAGCAGCAGAAGATAACCCAAGTGCTTGGGCCCTGCACTCACATGGGAGACCCGGATGGAGTCCCAGGCTCCTGGCTTTGGCCAGGGCAGCAGCCACTTGAGGAGAGAACCAACAGATGGAAGATCCCCCATTCCCTGTCTTTCAAATCAATCAATGCATCTTAACAGCAGAAAAGGGAACAAGTTACACAATCCCAAGCACCTCCCTGGAAGAAGGGACTCGTTGCCCACAGCAGGGGAAATGCTGACTCACAGAACAGAGCTGGTACTCAGGCGGGCGCTGGGGACAGCTGCGTCCCGTCAGGGCGTCTGGGATCGCGTTGGGGGTCTGCTCCTGCCGCCCACCTGAGAGCCCCGGATGGAGCCCAGCCCGGCTGCGCAGCCACCTGAGCCAAGAACCAGCAGGCAGACACCCCTCTCCCTCGCTCCGACACTTTCTCAAATAAATGAAAATTACTGAATAAACATTTTAAAAATGACTCCACGGTCTCAAGACAGCGCTGGGGAGGAGGCACAGCCTGGGGTCCCTGCTTGCTCTGCACTGCGTCCCTCATCAGGGTCCTTCTCTGCTCTCCACCTCTCTCCTGCGACTCCTATGCGCTTCAGTAAAGGCCAAAGTAAACAGAACGGGATTTTACCAGACCACGCGTGTGGGTGCCCCAACAGGATCACGGGGCCACACCCATCCCATCCCGCAGCTCTGAACCCTGCGGCCTCCCAGGCATCAGGTCAGGGGCCTGGTGGCAGGGCTGGCCAGCCACCCTCTGACCCGTGCTTTTCTAAGGAGGCCCTGAGAGGCCGCACCTTGGTCCCCGCCTGCTTCTCCCGGTGGGGTGGCCCGAGGAAGGTCCCTCTGCCCGCCCCTGGCCCTCAGGCCACCGGGAAAGAACCTGCTGCTGGCTGAGCACCTGATGCACCCACACGCTGCAGGCCCTCCCCTCCTCGGCACAAGACTGGGGCCTGGAAGCTGTGAGTCCTGGAGGCTTCCTGGAAGAGGCAGTGGACCGGGCCAGAGAGGGTGGCGAGGTCCCTGCAGGAAGTACCAGGCAGCAGGGTCCAGCTTCCCACAGGCCATGGCAGCAGACCCCGGGGGCGGCTCTTCAGGCCGAGGGTCCAGGACGGCAAGGCCTGGGGGGCTGGGCAAGGGCTGCTGGGACCCCGAGTTCGGAATGTTTGCGACCTCGCCAGGACCACAGCTAGCACGCAGCTGCTTTATTCTCTTTCAGAAATTTTTTTTTTTCTGCTTACAAAAGTATCTTATGCTTAATATAAAAAAAAAGAAAGAAAAAAATGTCATGTTGAAAGACTGTCGACAGCCGGACCCCGGCCCTGTGGAGGAGAGGCCGCTGCTCCCAGGTCAGGTCTTGGTCAGGGTCCTGGGGACGCGCTTGGGGCCGCGGGGGCCTCCTCCCCACCCCCTGCAGGAGGGCCCCGTGCTAATCTGTCCGCTTCTTTTGTGTCTGTGTCTGGAAGAAAGGGGGGGGGGTGGTCAGGCTGGAACCAAAGGAAAAGCAAGGGCGCCCCCCACCCAACCAGGGGTTGACTGGCAAAGCTTAGGGAGCTAACAGCCACTCCAGGGACACTGTGCCCAAAGGCACCAGCCCGGCCACTGGGCTGTGCAAGTCACTTCCAGCCACATCTGGCTGAGCAACAGGAAGTGGTGCCGACCCCGTGGCCTGGCTGGGAATCCTGTGGCCAAGGCAGAGGCCCGGAGTGAGCCACGCTTTGCTCCAGTCCTCACTGGGCTGGGGGCAGTGGTTTCAGCCAGTCTGGAAGGGACCCTGAAGACAGCCCCGTCCCCCAGCTGAGTGGGAAGAACAGGCTCTGAGCTAGAGCTGGAACCAAGTCTTGCTCTACAGTGACCGCTGCTGGGCTCAGGGTGGTCTCGAGCCACTCAGCCCTGCCCCTCTAGGCTAGTGGGCGGAGCCAGGTGGGCCTTCCAGGAGGAGTGCCTGGGGAGTGCTCCCACTGAGGGTGGGGCTCATGGCTCTGGGGGTCAGGGTTCCTGACTTCCCCAGCACTGTTCCTTTCAGGCCTGGGACCGCCCACTCCTCAGGTGCCCTAAAGTGTCCTCAGCTGGGGTCTCAGCCCAGGGGACGTGTTGGGGCTACCACATCCTATGACCTCAGGCCACTCACCCCCAAATTTCCATCCATGAGGTGAGATCCCCGGCACCGCCCAGCTACCTGAAGGAAACCCAAGAGTCCTGCTCATCGGCTGCCAGGTGAGGCGGCCCGGCCACCAACTCAGAGGCGGCCAGCCGAGGCCAGACCCGACAGCTTTGGCGCCATGTCCTCAGGACACGACAGACCCCACGCCTTGGGAAAGCACCGCTGGGCACCCACCCCCGTGATCCCCGAAGCTTCCCACCCAAAAGGGGCGTCCAGGTCCCAACACAGGTGCCAAGCCTAGGGAGTCTCACAGCCTGTGGCGTGGAACACGGACACAGGAGACAGCAGACACATGTGCAGACAGGTGCAGCAGTGGTGCCCGCACACAGCCAGGACACGCCCACCTCCCCACTGCCCCAGGCTGTGTAGGTGTCAGGGGACCCGCCACACCAGGGGTCCTGCCTCATGGCCCTCCTGGGGGGCTGATGGGTGGATCTCCCTGCCTCCCGCCTGTCCCAGTGCCTTGGATTCTGCAAGGAGGTCCCACAGACCCCTCCGTGAGTACCCGAGCTGCTCACACTGCGCGCCCCAGGCTTGCCCCCGCCCCACGTCCTGGATGCTCAGAGGACACCACCAGCCTCGCCCATCCTGTCCCCCGCGGATTCCCGGAGCCCTGCCCAGGCGAGCCCAGAGGAGGGGCAGCCTCGGCCTTCAATCTCCCTGGACCTGCCTGCCAGGTCTGGCTCCGAGAAGGGGCCTCGCCCTGCGGCCTCCCTGGCCGGCGCCCCTCACCTGCGGGGCTCATCACAGGACGGGTGGCCGTGGGAGCCAGGGAGCTCTCTACTCTGTCCGTTCTAGAACCTTTGAAGAGGGACCCATGAAGTCCTAGGCCTAGAGATGGCCGTCTGCAGCTGGTGGGGGCCTGCACACGCAGTCCCAGTCCCTCCCCCAGACACCCCTGTGAGGAGCGAGGCCGCAGGGGCCGACTCAGAGAGGGCAAGGCCACCTGGCAGGACAGAGGGGCCTCCGAGGGCCACCTGCCTCCCACACCGGCAGCAGAAGTGGGGCAGTGAGGACAGGACAGAGGGGCCGGGGGACCGTCACACCGATGCAGCCGCCAGGGTCTGGCTTGCTGGGGAGGGGCCGGTCCTGGGGGGCCTCACCCGGAGCCAGCTTGTGGCGCTTCTGCTCGGGCTCCTGGGGGGCCGCCTCGATGGCCCGCTGGGCCTCAGGGTGGGTCTTGAGGAGGGCCCTGGCCAGGGTGGCGGGGCCGGGCGGCCCCAGGGACATGATGCAGTGCACGCCCCTGCGCTTGGCCCCGGCCGCCTTGGCGCTGTCCTTGGAGGCCGTCAGCAGGACCAGCTTGGAGAACTTCCTGGGCTTCCTGGGGGCCGTGGAGACAGCGTGCGTGCCTGGCCCCGGGGCCGGCTCCTGGCCAGCCGGCACGCTCTCACCCTCCTGTTCGCCAGGCTCGGGCAGGGGCATGGCGCCACCCAGCGCCCGGCCTCAGGCACACTCAGCCCCAGCAGGCGTCTTGTCCTCCGTGAGCTCCTCTTCCCTGGCCACGGTTCCGTCCTAGGGGAGAGAAATGTGTCAGTGGAGGCCGCCGCCGGTGGGGGGCTGTGCGGAGCCTGGTGGGGACCTGTGCAGCCTCACCTTGCCCAGGTGTAGATCGCCTGCCAAGGCCGCCTGGTGACAGGTGTGCCGGCAGCCCGGGAGCCACACCCACCCTGTGGCACTGGGACACGCGGGGCCAGCTGATGATTCCCACACTTCCCATTTAGTGTCTGGTGCCTGTGGGGTAAAAGTCACCACCACCGCCATGGACCCAGGCTGTGGACAAGGCCAGGGAGCCCAGCACGGCCGGGGGTGGCAGAGCTCCCACGGGTGTCCAGTGTGCCTCACCCACACCACAGGTGCCCGAGAGATGTCCATCAGCAGTTGGATACTCCCAGAACGCCTCCCCTGAGCGCACCAGGGGCGGCCGCCGCAGACCACGGCACCCACAATCCTTGCTGATGGCATCCAACCCCACCCCTGAAGCCAGAGCTGAGCTCACTTGCCACGCTACAGCCCAGTGCCCAGGGCCTGGTCTGCGGGGGCTGCCCGGGAGTGCTGCCCATCAGGCAACTTGAAGAAAAAAACCACTTCCCCGCAGCTCCAGAGCTGCAAGTTCCCAACCGAGGTGTCGGCAGGACGCAGGACGGGTCCCTTCTGAGGCCTGGCTGTGCACGGCACCTTCTCCCTGCACCTACACATGGCCCTCCCCGGCGAGTGTCCAAGTGCCCGGGCCTCCTCGTCACTGGCCCTCCCCCGTGAGCGTCCAAGTGCCCGGGCCTCCTCGTCACTGGCCCTCCCCCATGAGTGTCCGAGCGCCTGAGTGCCCGGGGCCTCCTCGTCACTGGCCCTCCCCCGTGAGCGTCTGAGTGCCCGGGCCTCGTCACTGGCCCTCCCCCGCGAGCGTGCGAGTGCCCAGGCCTCCTCGTCACTGGCCCTCCCCCGTGAGCATGCGAGTGCCCAGGCCTCCACGTCACTGGCCCTCCCCCACGAGCATCCAAGTGCCCGGGCCTCCTCGTCACTGGCCCTCCCCTGCGAGCGTGCGAGTCCTCTGAGGGCCTCCAGTTGCCCCATCTCCAGACACAATCCCAGCCTAGTGCGGGGGCTGGGACTTCAGCCTAGAACACAAATACAGCCTGTGCTCACCACATCCTGCTCATGGTCTCTCCACAACTTTATTATTATCGCCTTTAGAATTAAAAGATAAGTTTAGGGGCTGGTGTCGTGGAGTAAGTAGTTAAGCTACAACATGGGCCTTCCATATCGGAGTACCGCCCGAGTCCCGGCGGCTCAGCTTCTGGTCCAGCTCCCTGCTATGGCCTGGAAGGCAGCCAAGGATGGCCCTGAGTCCTTGGCCCCTGCACCCGCGTGGGAGACCCGGATGGAGTTCCAGGATCCTGGCTTCATTCTGGCCCAGTCCCCAGCCATTACCTCTACTTGGGAGTGAACCAACGGATGGAAGATCTCTCAAGATTTATTTATTTTATTTGAAAGAGTTACACACACACACACACACACAGGTTTTCCATCTGCTGGTTCACTCCCCAACTGGCTGCAATGGCCAAAGCTGTGCCATCTGAAGCCAGGATTCAGGAGCTTTCTCTGGGTCTCCCACGCGGGTGCAGGGGCCCAAGTACTTGGACCATCTTCTACTGCCTTCCCAGGCCACAGCAGAGAACTGGATCGGAAGAGGAGCAGCAGGGACTGAAACCAGCACCCATATGGAGTGTTGGCACTGCAGGCAGCGGCTTTACCCGCTATGCCACAGCGCCGGCCCCAGTACATCAAATTTTAAAAGTAAATAGTTTATGGGGCCGGTGCTGTGGCCTGAAGCACCGGCATCCTATATGGGCGCCGGTTCGAGATCCAGCTGCTCCACTTCCGATCCAGCTCTCTGCTACGGCCTGGGAAAACAGTAGAGGATGGCCCAAGTGCTTGGGCCCCTGCACCCATGTGGGAGACCCGGAAGAAGCTCCTGGCTCCTGGCTTCCCATCAGCGCAGCTCCAGCCATTGCAGCAATTGGGGTGTGAACCAGTGGATGGAAGACCTCTCTCTCTCTCTCTCTCTCTCTCTCTCTCTCTCTCTGGCTCTCTTCTCTCTGTGTAACTCTGTCTTTCAAATAAATGATTCTTTAAAAAATAGTTTATTTTGGTGAAAAATTTTTTGTAATGCAAGTCCATGCACAACTTTTTTAATGTGCTTTTCCACAAACTTCTGGAAGACCCTTGATACATTTCTACCGAACAGCGCTGGCCTGGAGCGTGAGCCATAGAAACAGGTATTTTTGTCTGTTCACTGCCCACACGGGGACGGCACACATCCGCTCTCACAGGCAGCACCGATGAAGTGCTGACCACACCCCGCGCCTGGATCAGGAAGCAGGTGAAGTGACCGACTCTGCCCAATGGCAGCAGTGGGCAAACCTGGCACCCAGCTCCCACCCAAGCCCTCACATGCCCGCACCTCCTAGTGGCTGGGCAGCGGCCACCACCTCTGGGGATCTGGGGATGGGGCCCTGACCCTTGCAGAGCCCTCCTCTCTCTAGCTCTGGACTTCACACGCGCTCGCCTCCGGCACTGCAAGCGCACATGGGGAGGGCAGGCAGCCCCCACTCACACTGGTCCTGGGGCTCTGCCTGCCCCACGGGGCTCCAGATCACACCTGGGGCCTCCTCTTCATGGTCCTCGTCTAAACAGTCCTGTAAACACTCTTCAGGGTCCTCGTCTAAACAGTCCTGTAAACACTCTTCAGGGTCCTCGTCTAAACAGTCCTGTAAACAACGGAGTCTCCTTCTAGAAGTTGCTTTCATCCAGGCTGCCCTGGAACACGCAGTCCCGCACTGTGGACAGCCACGGGCCTGGCTGGGGTGCATGGTTGGCGAGTGGGGTGACGCGTGGAGTGATGTGGGGTGACATGTGGGTGATGTGTGGGGTGACACATGGAATGAAGCATGGGGTGACACGTGGAGTGATGTGGGGTGACACGTGGAGTGATGTGAGGTGATGTGTGGAGTGACACGTGGGGTGACGTATGGGGTGACGTGGGGTGACGCATGGGGTGGCGCATGGGGTGATGTGTGGGGTGACACATGGAATGAAGCATGGGGTGACACATGGAGTGACAAGTGGGGTGACACGTGGAGTGATGTGGGGTGACATGTGGGGTGATGCGTGGGGTGAGAATGAGCATCGCGGTGGACAGCAGGGAGGCCACCACAGCTCCCTCCAGCCCCGCCGCTCCCCACGCTGCCGTTTCCATGTCACCAACACGTGCCACGTGGTGACAAGCACGGCTTCCTGTCGCCCTGTAGAGCGGCAGCCGCGGAGAGCAGCTGCGAAGACCCTGGAGAGGCGGGAGGCAGCCCCTGACCACCTCGGCCTTGAAGCGCAGTGCTCTGGGCGGCCAGACAGAGGCGCTGTCCCCACAACAGCCACCTTTCAGGGAAAGAAAATAAACAAAGAAATAAGACTTTAAAATGTTTATATTTGGTTGATGAAAAAGTATCAGTAAAACAGCCCAAGGACACATCCAGCACAGCCCGTCTTCTCTGCACTAAAGCGTTTTCCCAAGGAAGACAGAGGCGGGGCCCCGGCCCCTGCAGTCTCTGCCCACGCGCCCCTCCCAGCCTCTGCACCGCCTCACGCTCACCCCGCATCTACAGTCAGGCCGGAAGGTTAATGCCCTGGCCTGAAGTGCCGCCATCCCATATGGGTGCTGGTTCGTGACCCGCTGCTCCACTTCCGATCCAGCTCCCTGCTGTGGCCTGGGAGGGCAGTGGAGGATGGCCCAAGTGCTTGGGCCCCTGCACCCATCTGAGAGACCTGGAGGAAGCTCCTGGCTTCAGATAGGCCAGCTCTGGCCATTGCACCATCTAGGAAATGAACCAGCGGATGGAAGACCTCTCTCTCTCTCTCTCTCTCTCTCTGCCTCTGTAACTCTGCCTTTCAAACCAACAAGTCTTTTCTTTAAGAAGGCGTCCCCTTTCCTATGCTGCACAATGCCACACGAGGAGACATAGATGAACACAAGCAAGCAGATGGAACCCTGGCTCTAGACTCAGACACAACACAAAGTGACAGGGAAAGGGGTGGGATGCGTGGCAGGGACGACACATCCGCCAGGCCCCGGCCCTCCTGCCCAGCCGGAGCCACCTGGCCGGTCCTTGACCTGAGGCCCAAGTCAGGAGCAGGTCCTGACCTGTTGGCTGCAGCCCGCAGCCTCCCTTCCAAGTGACCACCTGGGGAGGCGGAAGCCGTGGGGACCTCAGAGACGCACAGCTGAGAGCCAGCTCCTGCACCCTCCCCTGCCCCTGGGCCGATGCTTGAAGAGAGAAACGGCCTTGCAGGGAACACGGTTCCACAGGGCCAGGCTCGCGTCTGAGAACCCAAGGAGGCAATACACGCCCGCGAGTCCACGCCGACACACAGCTGAAAAGCCAGTGCTGGGCGAGGACACAGCTTCCCCAAGAAGCGGAACCAGGGCTGCAGATGCTCCCCCCTCCAGCAGGTGGCGCAGTCCCCGCCTTGATTCAGTGACTCATTCCCAGAGCAGGGACACCGGCAGGTGGCCAAGGCTCCGTCACAGTAGCCCTCCGCTCGGGGGAACCCCCGAAACCCCTCGCCACACGACAGTCACGGGAAACATCAGACGACACTAAACACTGAGGGGCATCCCACAACATTCCTGGCCCGCGCTCTTCAAGATCATCAGACTCACAGAAATGAGGAAAAACCGAGGTCGAGTCACGCACCGTGCGGGGGCGCCTGGGAAAGCGGTGCCAAAACGCAGCCAGGACCTCAGATCAGCCCGGGACCGGAAGCCCACCAGGGCATGAAGTCCTGAGCCCACCCCATAGCGCGGGGCCAACAACAGGGTCACATGCAACATGTGACCTGCAAAAATCATCCCAAAACAAAAGTTTGCTGTTTCAAAACAGACCCGCTACTCTATCGATTATTTTATCACAGGAAAATCAGCTGAACCACTGGCAGAGGCAGCTCTTGCTTCTTAAAGTTTTACCTAGTGTGTGTGGTTTTTTTAAGATGGATTTATTTGTTCATTCAGTCATCTGAAAGGCTCAGCAACGGGCAGGAGGGGAAGGAGAGAAACAGACATCTTCCATCTCCTGGTTCACTCCCCGAACGGCGCCCACAGCAGTCTGCACGGGAGCCACGTGGGCGCAGGCCGGTGCACCTGGGCCGTCCTCTGCTGCCTCCCCAGGTGCACTCGCGGGGGCTGGAGCGGAAGTGCAGCAGGGACTCAGACCTGCTCGGACACAGGAGCCCGCTGCCCTGCGCTGCCGGCCCCCACCTGGCTCTTCTCAGCGCCTCTCCTTACAAGACGAGGACAGACTGAAAACGAACCTACACGCCGCCGGAGTCTGGACGGGGCCTTGGGGAAGGCCCTGTGGCAGACGCGTTACACGGTCATTGTTCACTTGTCCTGGAAAAACACAATAAACTTCTCTCAAGACCAAATGTCAGGAAACCGCACACCTTCACCTCCACTTTTCAAAATGACAAATGCTTCACAACTGTTCCCTTGCACACTTTAGTGCAGTAGCACACTTGCCTAAGTGAGGCCTCCTGAACTTAGCTACTGCTGCTCTGGGCAGGCGTGTGGGGCAGTGGGCTCGTTAGTGGGTGAGCGGGATGCCCACACCTCACAGGGGGTGCGGCTCACGTCTGGCTGCTCTGCCACTTCCGGCCCCGCTCCCTGTGCCTCTGGGAAGCAGCCGATGACGGATGGCTCAAGTTCCTGAGTTCCTGCCGCCCGCACGGGAGACCTGGATGGACTCCAGCTGTTGCAGGCATTGAGCAGCGGACCCGTGGATGAAAGATCTGTCTCCGCCTTTCAAATAAATAAGTAACTCTTAGAATCCCTGCTATCTGCTCCGTCACGGGGACGCGCAGGCAGCCAGTCCCACGGAATCCTGCAGAGCCCCCCACTGCATTCGTAATGGCCGCGACTGGAGCACCTCTGGGCTTCCGGTCATCCAAGAAAACCCTGGTGGTGCTGAAGCATCATGGAAAGTTAAAGACCAAACTTAATGGCCTGCCCGTGGGCTGTCATCCTGCTGGTGACAAAACTCCTGAAGTCCATCCGCAGACTCAATGCATGCTCCCCCCTCCCCGGACCCTTCAGCGTGGTGCTTGGATATCGCTGTGGCTTTCTGCCCCCCCACCCTTACCCTACCCCATGGCCACCACCACCGCAACACAAAGACCACGAAGACACCTGGCGCCAACCCAGAGCTCCAGGCCACAGGAACCACACACACCCAGGTGCCCAGGTGATGGGGGCAGAACCAGCCCCCAGACATGTCCAAGGCTCCAGGCCACAGGAACCACACACACCCAGGAGCCCAGGTGGTGGGGGCAGAACCAGCCCCCAGACATGTCCAAGGCTCCAGGCCACAGGAGCCACACACACCCAGGTGCCCAGGTGGTGGGGGCAGAACCAGCCCCCAGACATGTCCGGGGTCCTAGTCCTGGAACCAGTGAGTATGTGAGCTCATCTGGCAGAAGGGAACCCCAGTCGTCTCGGGGAGATTACCCCGGGCAGAGGGAGAGAGATGAACCGCCGGCTGGGACGGGTAAGGAAACACACCCTCCCCAGGGCCTCCGGGACGGAGCGCAGCCAGGCATGCCCAGGCGTCCCTGCCCGACCACCCCAGGCCTGGCCCCAGACTCTAAGGCCGAGCCGAGGTGCCAGTCCTGCCTCCATGAGGTTCCCGCGGTGAGCAGCCCTTCCTGATGGTGGAACAGGTGGGAGAGACCCCAGCACCGCCCACACCCACGCACGAGGGGAGGAGCAGAGGACGCGCAGAGGCGCAGGGGTGAGGCCGGGCTCCGCACGCTTTCCCTCATCGCTGGGACCCTCAGGGAGACCGGGCACCTCCCAGGCAGGGCGCCCCTGCTTCTTCCGCCCCTGACCAAGCCCCTAACCAGGCCCCAGCGCGTCGCCATCCTCATGGGGACCTCCAGGGGACAAAGCTGGGGCCAGACAGGGCTGCCCGCAGGATGGGGGCAGCACCAGGCGGGGTGGAAACAGTCAGGAAAGGGCGGCCCAGCGTGGGGGTGTCAGGGGCCGGGGAGAGAGAAGCGAGGAGAAAGGAGGGGGTCGTTGACGGTGAGGCGCGCCTGAGAGCCGAAGACACAACCCCTCTCCCTGACACAGGCAGCCCCTGGGACGCCCCCCGGAGAGCCGGCCAGCGTGTGTCCGCCCCTCCCTGGCGCCGGAGCCCCCGGGACGCCCCCCGGAGAGCCGGCCGGGGCTGTGCCCGCCCCTCCCTGGCGCCGGAGCCCCTAGGACGCCCCCCGGAGAGCCGGCCAGCGTGTGTCCACTCCTCCCTGGCGCCGGAGCCCCCGGGACGCCCCCCGGAGAGCCGGCCGGGGCCATGTCCGCCCCTCCCTGGAGCCGGAGCCCCCGGGACGCCCCCCGGAGAGCCGGCCAGCGTGTGTCCGCCCCTCCCTGGCGCCGGAGCCCCCGGGACGCCCCCCGGAGAGCCGGCCGGGGCCGTGTCCGCCCCTCCCTGGCGCCGGAGCCCCCGGGACGACTTGTAAAGCAGTAGAGATTCTGCCGGGGCCGTGACCGCTCCGTGGGACGCGGAGCCTCCCCGTCGGTGGGGCCCGTCCTCACCGCAGGCGGCGGAGCCCTCCCTGTCCGGCGGCAGAGCAGTGGCCGGTCCCTCGGTCTCAGTGATGGGGGGCCCCTCCTCGGCCCCGGCCGTCACCTCAAACTGGGGTCACGGCGCGAGCATGCGCAGCAGAGCCGCGAGGGCCCCATTCCTTGGGCGACACCGCTTTTCCGGGTCTTCCCCGTGCCGCGTCGCCTTTCCGCCCAGCCAATCAGCGTTTGGGGCCGGAGCTCCGCCTCGCGGAGGGGGCGTGGCCATGCCAGGATTGGACGGCGCGGTGCGGGGGCGGGGGCTCGGATCCCCGCCCGGGTCCTCACAGAACTCGCGGCGGGTCTATCCGGGAGCGCCCCAGATCTCCCCTAGGATTCGACTCCTGCTCCGCGGAGAAGTGGAGCGTGTGTTGACAGGCTTGCCCGTCACCGTCGCTTTACCGAGCGAGCGGAGGGAAGATGTCTTTCTGCTCAAAGTCGCCACTGGCTCTGCTCAGCCGAGCAGCCCTGACAGCGCAGCATCTAGCCGTGGGTCCCGCCTCGTCATCGGCCAAACTCTCTCCCATTGGTCCCGCCCGCGCCGTTGGGCCTGCCCCTCCCCGCCCATTGGTCCCGCCCGCGCCGCTGGGTCCGCCCCTCCCCGCCCATTGGTCCCGCCCGCGCCGTTGGGTCCGGCCCTGCCCGCAGCTCTCCGCGCCGGAACGTCGTGCGGGGAACCCGTGCGGTGGGAACCCGTTTGGCTCCAGGAGCCGCGGGCTGCGCGGTCCTGGGTACGGTTTTCCTGGGCCCCAAACGGTGCCCGCGGCCACAGCCTCGCTCCTCGCCCGACGCCGGCGGACGCCCGCCCGGTCCACGCGCTGGCGCGGCACCCGCACGCTGCCGGCCCTGGCTTCGCGGACTCCGGGCCCCGCGGCTCCCGCCACGCGCACACTGCCGGTTGTTAGTAGCTTGGTCGCCTTGTAAATCTCTTTGAATGGGCCGGCGCCGCGGCTCACTAGGCTAATCCTCCGCCTAGCGGCGCCGGCACACCGGGTTCTAGTCCCGGTCGGGGCGCCGGATTCTGTCCCGGTTGCCCCTCTTCCAGGCCAGCCCTCTGCTGTGGCCCGGGAGTGCAGTGGAGGATGGCCCAGGTGCTTGGGCCCTGCACCCCATGGGAGACCAGGAGAAGCACCTGGCTCCTGGCTCCTGCCATCGGATCAGCGCGGTGCGCCGGCCGCAGCGCGCCGGTCGCGGCGGCCATTGGAGGGTGAACCAACGGCAAAAGGAAGACCTTTCTCTCTGTCTCTCTCTCTCACTGTCCACTCTGCCTGTCAAAAAAAAAAAAAAAATCTCTTTGGCTGTACACCTTTAACCTCGAGGGTTTCTTAAAATTCCTAGCCGGGTCTCCCCCGGGAGAACAGCGTGGGGCCGGCCTCTCCCCCAGGAGCACAGCCTGGGGCCAAGGGTCTCCCCCGGGAGCACAGCCTGGGGCCCGCCTCTTCCCCCAGGGAACACCAGCTTGGGACAAGGCCGCTCCCTGGCCCGCGCACACAGCCCCAGCCCCAGCCCCTGGGCAGAGTCCGGAGCCCCGGGTTTCAGGCCCGCCTCCTGCCCAGCGCGGCCCAGGCCATGCACTCCCAGGACCGGCGAGGGCGGCCCGGATGGAGCTCGTCTCACCTTTCTTTGGGCTTCTCTTTGGGCCACGTTGGTCCACGGACACGGCAGGAGGCTGGCCGCTCAGACCCTGAGCTGTGCTGGTTACACAGTCAGCCACACAGCGTCTGCTGCTGTCACCCCGTCCTGTCACCGCGCCTGCACACGCACTCCACAACTAGTTTCTACTGAGAGCTGGACTTCGGTCACTGGCAAAAGCACTGTCCACTGTCTCCAACGAAGTACAAATTCATTTTTATGTATTTATTATTTGAAATTCAGAGTTAACAGAGAGAAGGAGAGGCAGAGAGAGACATACAGAGAGAGAGAAGAGAGAGAGAGAGAGAGAAAGAGAGGTCTTCCATCCCCTGGTTCACTCCCTAGTTGGCTGCAATGGCCGGAGCTGGGCCGAGACAAAGCCAGGAGCCAGGAGCTTCCTCCAGGTCTCCCATGAGGGTGCAGGGGCCCAGGGACCTGGGCCATCTTCCACTGCCCTCCCGGGCCACAGCAGAGAGCTGGATCAAAAGTGGAGCGACCAGGATTCAAACCGGTGTCCACATGGGATGGCGGCACTGCAGGCGGAGGCCTTACCCGCTACGCACAGCACCGGCCCCGTCTTCTTGATTTTTTAGAAAAAGGATTACTTGAAAGGCAGAGCAACAGAGCGGGAGGGAGAGACAGGAAGCTAGGTCTCCCATGCACTGGTCCACTACAGAAGCTGAGTCTCCCACGTGGGTGGCCAGGACCCGGGGGCTTGGCAGTGTGGAGCAGCCGGGAACCAGCCCTCCCATGAGGGATGCAGGGTCCCACGCAGCAGCTTCACCCCCTGTGCCATGTCGCCCACCATGGAAACCCCCCCCCCAATTCTTGTTTTGAAAAGTGTCGGGGCCGGCACTGTGGCATAGCTGGTTAGGCCGCTGTCTGCAGTGCCAGCATCCCATACGGGCATGTCCCAGCTGCTCCAGCTCGATCCAGCTCCCTGCTATGGCCCGGGAAAGCAGGAGAAGATGGCCCAAGTCCTTGGGGCCCTGCACCTGTGAGAGAGGCCTGGAAGAAGCTCCTGGTTCCTGGCTTCAGATAGGCGCAGCTCCGGCCATTGCGACCAACTGGGGAGTGAACCAGTGGATGGAAGGCCTCTCCTCTCTCTGTGTAACTCTGACTTTCAAGTAAATACATAAATCTTTAAAATAGATAAATAAATAGTGTCCCCATTTAATGTGACCCAAAAAGTAGGCCACCACGTTCTGAGGAGCAGCGGCACCCCCTTGTGGCTGTCGGCAGCATTGCAGCCGCGGCCCCGATTGGTCCCCCCAAGGTCTGCAGGGGCTTCCTGCAGGCTTAAAGGCGAGGCCCATGCGGGTGCTGCAGCAGTGGTGCAGGAGAGACGGTGTGGCAGGACTGTGAGGTGGTCCCTGTGGACCTGCCTGTGGTGTAGGGAGCTGCTTTTGTCCCTCCAGTGACTCGAGGGGAGCCATTGCTACATTGGTTGCTTTTATTTATGATTAATTTATTGATCTGAAAGGCAGAGGCAGAGAGAGAGAGAGAGGTCCTCCATCTGCTTGTTCACTCCCCAAATGGCCGCATTTGGCCATCTGATGGCTGAGCCGATCTGAAGTCGGGAGCCGGGAGCTTCTGCCGGGCCTCCCACACTGGACGCACTCGGGCATCTTCCTCTGGCCTCCCAGAGCTGGATCAGAAGTGCGGCAGCCGGGACTAGAACCGGTGCCCATATGGGATGCCGGCGCTGCAGGCGGCGGTTTTACCCGCTTTGCCACGGCGCCGGCCCTACAGAGGGGGCTTAGCGGCCTCACTGAGCTGTGGGTCACACCCCAGACGGCTCCCCGTGTGCAGCCACAGCACAGAGAAGCCCGCGCGCACTGGCCTCCAGCCTGAGGCAGCCCCGTCTGTCTTGGGCCCTAGAGAGGGGCCCTGTTGCAGACGTTTCGTGTGGAAGCAGCCACACAGCTCATGGTCCTCCCGCCGGGCCCGCTCCCCGAGCGTGCTGTCCGCAGGGCTCGTCCGTGTCGCCGCAGCTCCCCACGCGCCACCCTCCTTGCCTGGTGGAGCAGCACCCTCGGCACTGCCCCTCCCACACGGAGGGCTCTCCCTGAAGGGCAGGCCTGGCCGGCTCAGGTGTCTCTGGGCCCCACAGGGCCTGAGGAGGGCGTGTCCCACAGAGCTGGGGTGGGCGGGATGTGGGTGCAGCTCTTCCTGCTGCGTCAGAAACAAATATTTTTTTAAAAAATATCTAAGAGGTCAGGGCCATCACTATGGCTTAGCGTAGGGGCTGGCAGCATGGCAAAGCAGGTAAAGCTGCCACCTGCAGTACCAGCATCCCATACAGGCGCCAGTTAAAGTCCCGGCTGCTCCACTTCCGATCCAGCTCTCTGCTATGGCCTGGGAAAGCAGTGGAAGATGACCCAAGTCCTTGGGCCCCTGCGCCCACGTGGGAGACCTGGAAGAAGCTCCCTGGCTCCTGGCTTTGGATCGGCACAGCTTTGGCCATTGTGGCTGATTGGAGGAGTGAACCAGTGGTTGGAAGACTTCTCTCTCTCTCTGCCTCTCCTTCTCTCTCTCTGTGTAACTCTGACTTTCAAATAAATTAATAAATCTTTTTTTAAAGATCTATTTTATTTATTTGAAAGAGTTACAGAAAGAGGTAGAGACAGAGAGGTCTTCCATCCACTGGTTCACTCCCCAATTGGCTGCAATGGCCGGAGCTGCGCCGATCCGAAGCCAGGAGCCAGGAGCTTCTTCCAGGTCTCCCACGTGGGTGCAGGGCCCCAAGGACTTGGGCCATCTTCTACTGCTTTCCCAGGCCACAGCAGAGAGCTGCATCGGAAGAGGAGCAGCCAGGACTAGAACTAGCACCCTTATGGGATGCCTGCACTTCAGGCCAGGGGTTTAACCTGCTGTGCCACAGCGCCAACCCCATCTTTTATTCATCTTTAAAATGCTTATATATGTGTTTTTATTTTATTTGAAAGGTAGAATGACAGCAAGAAAAAGATTTCTACCCCTGGTTCACTTCAAATGCCCACAGCAGCCGAGGTTGGGCCAGGCTGAAGCCCGTACCCCAGCTGAGGTCCCCGTGTGCGTGGCAGGGACCCCAGCACCTCAGCCGACACCCACGGCCTCCACCAAGCACACTGGCAGGGAAGTGGAGTGGAGTGGACCAGGACTCTCGAACCCAGGCACTGTGATACTGGACTTGGGCATCGCAGGCGAGGGCTTCTCCCCTGTGCCCCAAACTAACTCTCTAAGATCTATGTTATTTATTTGAAAGGCAGAGTTACAGAGAGAGAGGAGCAACACACAGAGAGAGAGGTCTTCCATCTGCTGGTTCACTCCCCAAGTAGCTGCAATGGCTGTGGCTGGGCCAGGCTGAAGCCAGGAGCTTCTTCTGGGTCTCCCATGGGGGCCCGAGCACTTGGGCCATCTTCCACTACCCTCCCACGCACACCAGCGGGAAGTTGGATCAGAAATGGGGCAGCCAGGACTCAAACCGGCACCCACATGGGATGCTGGCGTCGCGAACAGCAGCTTTCCCCGCTACGCCGCAGGCTGGCCCCCGAGCGTATCTCTTATCCCATTTGCATGGACTTTGGAAGTACCTTTGAAGCATTCCATGAAAGGGTGGCCGGTGATGTCACAGCTGAGGCGGTCCACACACCTGTCCCCTGAGACAGCTGGGTAGCACAAAGGTGCTTTCTGGGTTTCTTCCGTTTTCCCATGTCAGCTAACCAGAGGCCAGAGCTCAGGGGCCAAGACTGTAGTATCAGTAATTCTTATGGGGCCGGCGCTGTGGCGCAGTGGGTTAACGCTCTGGCCTGAAGTGCCGGCATCCCACATGGGCGCCGGTTCGAGTCCCGGCTGCTCCACTTCTGATCCAGCTCTCTGCTACGGCCTGGGATAGCAGTAGAGGATGGCCCAAGTCCTTGGGCCCCTGCACCCGTGTGGGAGACCCAGTAGAGGCTCCTGGCTCCTGGCTTCAGATTGGTGCAGCTCCAGCGGTTGTGGCCAATTGGAGAGTGAACGATCAGGTGGAAGACCTACCCCTCTCTCTCTCTTTCTGCCTCTCCTCTCTGTGTAACTCTGACTTTCAAATAAATAAAAATAAATCTTTAAAAAAAAAAAAAAAAAAGCCGGCGCCACGGCTCAATAGGCTAATCCTCCACCTTGCGGCGCTGGCACACCAGGTTCTAGTCCCAATCGGAGCGCCGGATTCTGTCTCGGTTGCCCCTCTTCCAGGCCAGCTCTCTGCTGTGGCCCGGGAGTGCAGTGGAGGATGGCCCAAGTGCTTGGGCCCTGCACCCCATGGGAGACCAGGAGAAGCACCTGGCTCCTGGCTTTGGATCAGTGCGGTGCGCCGGCCGCGGCGGCCATTGGAGGGTGAACCAACGGCAAAGGAAGACCTTTCTCTCTGTCTCTCTCTCTCTCACTGTCCACTCTGCCTGTCAAAAAAAAAAAAAAAAAAATCAGTAATTCTGCATTGCTTTATCACTTCTCTTATCTGGAGCGAGCCTCTGCCCCCTGCTGGTGTGTGCAGAGAACAGCCCCGCGGGGTCGCCGCCCTGATTCAGGTGAGAACAGGAGCGGGAGCCGCCTGGCCTCAGGAGTCTGGAGGAGCCGCCTGCCACCCGCCTGCCACACCCTGAGGACGGCCGCCCTCCTCTGTCCGTGTGAAGGGACAGGCTGGCACAGGTCTCAGCTGGAACAGAATAGCTCCGGCAGGCCGCCAGGCCCACGACCCAGGGCTGGCAGAGAGCGCCCTGTCCTCACAGGCCGGCCCGGCCCAGCTCGGCCTGCGAATACGCCGCCCTGGCGTGACGTTGCCACGGATGCCACTCGGGAGAGCGCTCGGGCCACAGCGGTCCTTTTCACTTCAAGTTGCTTCCTTTCTTTTATTTTTATTTATTTATTTTTTTTTACCTACTTATGGAGGCCAGCTCTGCGTCGTAGGAGGTGAAACCTCTGCCTGCGGCGCCGGCATCCCATGTGGGCGCTGGCTCGAGTCCCGGCTGCTCCTCTTCCCATCCAGCCCTCTGCCGTGGCCTGGGAAAGCAGGAGAAGATGGCCAAGTACTCGGCCCCTGCACTCCCATGGGAGACCCGGAAGAAGCTCCTGGCTCCCGGCTTCGGATCGGCGCAGCTCCGGCCGTTGCAGCCAGTTGGGGAGTGAACCAGCGGTTGGAAGACCTCTCTCTCTCTCTCTCTCTCTCTCTCTCTCTCTGCCTCTCCTCTCTCTGTGTAACTCTTTCAAGTAAAATAAATAAATCTTTTAAAACAAATACGTATGTATGTACGTATGCATTTGAGAGTGTGACAGCGGGGGGGGGGGGGTCCTCGCTGCTGGTCCACTCCCCAGAGGACCACGCTGGGCGTCCCACGCGGGCGCAGGGGCTTGGCTGCGGGGAAGCGGCCCCCGGCCCGCGGCGCCCCTGCCTCAGTTTCCCCCGCGGACCGTTCGCCTCGCCCTTCCTTTGGCTCTCCTGCCTTGCGGGGTTTGTTCATCCCACCCAGGCACCAGCACCGCGATGGGGCAGCTTCCGGGAGCCAGGAGGGGACGCGGCCGACCTGAGGCGGGGACGCGGCTCACAGGCGCTCGCGAGCTGAGGCGGGGAGGCGGCGGAAGCTGGGGCGGCCGCGGGCGGCCCGCGAGGAGTGACTGAGTGGACATCGGGGCCGCCTGGTCCAGCTCCGACGCAGGCATCCGAATCCACCCCAGTCCTACCTCGGGAAGGCGGCCTCCGGGACGCGGGAGGCGCGCGGGACCGCAGGGCCCCGGGGACGCCGCAGGCACCGCCTCGCCCTCCTCCGACGCCTGAAAGACCCCCGACCCAGCCGGTGCTGGCGGCGAGCGGACGCGGACCACGCTCCCCGGCCCGCGGACTCCGGAGTCCGCGCGCGCCCCCTGCCGCCCGCCGCCAGCACCGGCGCCCTGAACCCCGCTGGCCGCGCGCAGGGGCGCCGCGTCTCCTTACCCACGCTCATCTCCCTCCCTCTCCCTTTAGATTATTTATTTTAAAGGCAGAGTTACAGAGACACACAGAGAGATCTCCCACTCCCCAGAGAGCCACAAGGGCCAGGGCTGGGCCAGGAGCTTCTTCCATTGGCACAGGCACATTGTGGCTTAACCTGCTATACCACTGTCAGCCACCACTACCCCCCACCCCCCACAGCCACTCGGGGCTCCGGGACTCCAGAACTGTGAGCAGATAAATTCTGTGGTTTAAAGCCACCGAGTTTTGGGGACTTGGGTTCGGCAGCCACAGGAAACTCACACGCTGGCTTTGAATGCTCTCTGCACCCAAGCAGTGTGATTTGCCATTTGCCACCTAAAGGTTGTGCCATTGATAAGGGTTCATTTGTGGGGCTAGCACTATGGCATACTGGGTAAAGCTGCTGCCTGGGGTGCCGGCATCCCATATGGGCGCTCGTTTGAGGCCTGGCTGCTCCACTTCTGATCCAGCTCTCTGCGATGGCCTAGGAAAGCAGCAGAAGACGGCCCAAGTCCTTGGGCCCCTGTGCCCATGAAGGAAGCCCTGAAGAACCTCCTGGCTCCTGGCTTCAGACAGGCCCAGCTCCGGCCACTGCAGCCATGTGGGAGTGAACCAGAGGATGGAAGACCTCTCTCTCTCTCTCTCGCTCTGCCTTTCAAATAAATAAATACATCTTAAAAAAAAAAAAAAAGCACCACAGGCATCCCTCACATCCTCCAGCGGGGGCAGCCACCAGGAGGTTGAGGTCTGGGACCCTCAGCATGAAAGCACCCCCCCCCCAGGAACCCAGCAGCCATCAGTCCCGGGATCCTAGGGGCCGGGGAGACGGGCAGTGCGAGGGGCCTCCTGGCAGGACCCCACCCTCACCCCTCAGCAAAGCCAGGGAGGACCCCCCCAGGTCAGGGGCCGCAGACACTGCCACCACGCCGACTGCAGGTGGGTGGGCCTCCTCACTCAGGCTCTGCCCACCCAGGCTCCAGAGACCGAGCCCCCGCTGGGGGAGGGAGCGCCTCCCAGCACCTGCTCGGTCTGCCTGGGGGGTTGGGGGGGAAGTGGCCACTGCGGGGAGGGACAGGAAACAAGGCCCGGGCATCCTGGGCGGCTCCCTTCTCTCTCAGCTCATTGTTTTTTCCTCATTTGAAAGGCGCGTGCCAGAGAGAGACCTGCCGTCCACGGGTTCCCTGCAGCGGCCAGGGCTGGGCCAGGAGCCAGGGACTCCGTCCTGGTCTCCCACGCGAGCCCAGGGGCAGCCGGGATCAGACCAGCACTCTGATGAGGGACGTGGGTGCCCTCAACCCGCTGTGCTCCGGGCTCACCCTCGAGAACCTGTGTGTGTGAGGCTGGCCGCTGGCACGAGGGGCTCTGGGCAGGTCCGGGGCAGCAGGAGAGGAGACCTCAAGGCTCCCACCTTGGTGTTGTGGGTGGGGGTTGGGGAGGGTGCCAGGAGGGTGGAGCTGGAGTCGGGCTTGCAATTCCAGAATCACGCCACAAGGGGTACTCAGTCATTCTGCTTTTAATGCCTGTTTCAAAAATCTGGCTTGTTTGCCAGGAGCTGCCCTCCAGGGTGGGCGGGGTCCCGTTACTCCATTTTGTGGTGGAGTTTTTTATACTGGAAGAGAGGAAAGGGGCAGTCAGCAGCAGCCCCGGGAGGGCAGGGAGGCAGCCGGCCAAGGACCTCCACCCAGGCTCGCCCCAGGCCCGCCTCCTGCCCAGTCCCCACAGCTGCCCCCCCTGCCCAGACCCGCCTCCTGCCCAGGTCCCCACAGCTGCCCCCCCTGCCCAGACCCGCCTCCTGCCCAGTCCCCACAGCTGCCCCCCCTGCCCAGACCCGCCTCCTGCCCAGGTCCCCACAGCTGCCCCCCCTGCCCAGACCCGCCTCCTGCCCAGGTCCCCACAGCTGCCCCCCCCACCCAGGCCCGCCTCCTGCCCAGGTCCCCACAGCTGCCTGCCCCTGCCCAGGCCCGCCTCCTGCCCAGGTCCCCACAGCTGCCCGCCCCCCGCCCAGGCCCGCCTCCTGCCCAGGTCCCCACAGCTGCCCCCCCCACCCAGGCCCGCCTCCTGCCAAGGTCCCCACACTTGCCCCCCCCCCCTGCCTCTGCCCAGGCCCCCCTCCTGCTCAGGTCCCCACAGCTGCCCCCGCCCAGGCCCTTGGGCCACAGCAGCCTGCTCCTCACCTCCCTCATCAGAATGACAACAGCGACCACCTCCCACATCAGAATGACACCAGCGACCACGCCAGTGATGAGCCAGGCCACGGGGCCAGAAAAGCTGATGCTCCCAAATCCCTGGAAGGGGGAGACGGGTCAGGGACACCCAGGACTGGAGGTCAGAGGGGCCTCGGAGCCCTGCCTCCCACAGGCCCGGGGCCCGCCCTCCTCCTCTGCACTGGGGAGGAGCCCTCAGAGCACGTCTGACTGAGCGGCGCTCCCGGGGAGGGGCTTGAAGCTCCTGGGGGACAGGGTCCCACTGACAGGCCTGGGCCCCCACCAGGGCAGGAAGGCCAAGGGGAACCTTGTGAAGGGGGTGTTGGACTCACCAAGAAGATCTGGACCATGGGGATCGCTCCAGCAACCATCTTGCTCAAACTTCGCAGGGCTGTTGGAGGAAAGCCTGCTTGGTCTCCCTCCCCTCACGCCCCTTCCCCAGAGCCCCAAAACCAACACAGGCGCCACTGGAACCTGAGGCAAGAGTGGCCTGCCCCCACGTCTGTGGGCCTGCAGTAGAAGGAAGCGCCCAGGTGCCCCTGCCTGCCAGGGCCGCCCTCCAGCCCCCACGGTGCACCAGGGCTCCCTGACAGCTCTCCCAGCTGCCCCAGCTGGGGGCTTCCCAAGGGAGCCCAGCTTCTCCCGGTTGCCCTTTCCCCCGGCCGCCTCACCGCAGAGCTGGCTCTGGCCTCACGGCCCTGGCCGCTCCTCCAGAGTCCCGGCAGCCTGTGGGATGGCGAGCCCTGCCCGGTGCCAGCCATGGTGCCGCCTCTTCCCTCGCAGCTGCCCATGCCCCGACCCACCTAGGACAGCGGCCTGTGCCCACCAGAACGCGCCCGGCATGCCTGGCCCTGCCCTGCCCGCCCTCGCCCCGGGGCTCTGCTGCAGTCTGGTTCTCACCTGCACGAGGAGTGCCCGCCTCTCCTAACCTGTGCCCGCTCGGCTGCAAACCCAGAGACCCCTTCCTCTCCCCGAGACTGACCCCTACCCCACAGCTCGGCCGATCCAAGTGTCCCCGTGCTCACCTCAGGAAAATGGTGACGGCTGCTTCCGCGACCCGGGGTTTTCTTCCTGGGGTGGGGCCAGGCCCCAGAAATGGAACTTGATTGGCGGTTTCCTTTCCCCACCCATTGGTCTGTTTCATTTCCTAGAAAAGGCAGTGATTTCCTCTGAAAATCATCACATGAACCAGGTCCAAACTTTTTTTTTTTTTTTTTTTTTTTTTTAAAGGCAGAGGAACAGAGCGAGCAAGAGAGCCTCCATTTGCTGGTTCCCTCCCGACGGCCACAACAGCCAGGGCCGGGCCAAGGCCAGGAGCCTGGAACTCCATCCTGGTCTCCCATGCAGGTGGCAGTGGTCCAAGCACTTGGGCCATCGTGCACTGCTTTCCCAGGAGCATTAACGGGGACCTGGATTGGAAGCGGGGAAGCCGGGACTTGAACCAGCGCTCACATGGGATACTGGAGTCGCAAGCAGCAGCTTAACCTCTGGGCCGCCGGGCCGGTCCCTCGGAACTTCCTTCTGCGGTTAGCATCGCAGTTCATTTCTTCTCCACCTGCTCTGCAACGAGAGCGCTGATGTTCCTGGGTTCCGAAACAGCCGAGGGACAGGAGAGGCCTCTGGGGGCTTCCCCGTGGCACAGTGAAGCCCCACGTGGAAGAGGGGGCAGGGAGGGGAGCAAAGGCTCCTGGGACGCCACACACACACCACGGCGGTTTTTAAGAAGCCCCGGACCTTGCCGTGTGTGTAAACGCAGTTTCAGACTCTGCCCTCGCATCCAATCCCACCCCACAGTCCCCATAATCCTGCAGCTGTCACTGTGGGAGCCACCGGGGAGAGGGAGAGGCCAGGGTCGCCCAGGGCCAGCAGGAGGGGACCTCAGGGGCTGTGCCTGGTGTCTGGGCAGCAGCCAGGTTTCTAGGCTGAGGGGCCTGCAGGCTCGGGCGTGGCCCAGGCCACGCAGCTCTGGGGAAAGGCACTGAGAGCCGGTGGGGGCGGGGAGCCCCTGGGAGGGTGGCGCTGGGGCGGGGCCTGGAAGGATTCCGAATCCTGGGATTCGCACTTCATTATGGAGCAGTCAGGAGTGCTCAGTGTTTGGTGAGTTTTTAAAAACTTTGCTCAGGGTTTGCTTTGCTCATCTCCAAAGCTGAAAATGCAAGCCGCGTGGAAACGGTGAGAATCTGCGTCTATCCCCGCCCGGGGAATGAAGACCTCTGAGGCCGTGGTGCACTGTGGCTGGGCGTTCCGGGCCACACGGCTTCCTCCCAGAGGAGCAGCAGGGCGCAGGGCGGAACCTGCAACAGCAGGTGCACCTACTCCAGAGAAAGGAGAGCCGGGTGCACCGTTCCACGGTAGAGTCGGTCTCGGAAGTAAGCCACAGGCTCCCCTGAAGGGGAAGACTGCGGCTTGGCAATCTTAGGGGGGCAGGGCACTGGGGGCTCAGGCCCCAGCAGAAGCCAGGGAAGGACCTGCCAGCCAGCGGGGGCAGGCGGGGGCTGAGCCCCTGGCAGGATGAGGACGAGGCCTCTGCTGTTTGCTGGGAGGAAGGAAGTGCTTGACCCGGAGGGAACAGCTCAAGTTCCCGGCTCTTTCCCAGGCTCTGGGGACACTGTGGGGACTGGTCATCCGGGCAGCGCTTCCTGGCTCTGGCAACACACCTGCAAGGCCCTGGAAAATGGGTGCTGCCCAGGCACACCCCGCAGCTACACCCCCTTGGCCAGGGCACCCAAAACCCAGGACACTGCAGGTGCCTCCTGGAGAATGTGTGCCTGCTGGGCAGAGGGGAGCTCAGGCAGCACACAGAACTGAGGTGCTGGGGTGGGGGAGGTGCCCTGGCTCACCCGGGTGGCCCAGTGTAACCACAGGGTCAGGTGGCACACAGAACTGAGGTGCTGGGGTGGGGGAGGGAGGCACCCTGGCTCACCCGGGTGGGCCCAGTGTAACCACAGTGTCAGGCGGCACACAGAACTGAGGTGCTGGGGTGGGGGAGGGAGGCGCCCTGGCTCACCCGGGTGGGCCCAGTGTAACCACAGGGTCAGGCGGCACACAGAACTGAGGTGCTGGGGTGGGGGAGGCGCCCTGGCTCACCCGGATGGGCCCAGTGTAACCACAGGGTCAGGCGGCACACAGAACTGAGGTGCTGGGGTGGGGGAGGCGCCCTGACTCACCCGGATGGGCCCAGTGTAACCACAGGGTCCTAACTGCCAGAAGCAGGCAGAGCCCATCAGCCACTGTTGCCGGTGAGGATGGAAACGGCGAGGCAGTGTGCTCTCATCAGAGCCTCCAGGAGGCAGACTTCCCCTCACCCAGGTCATGGGAGGGAAAGGGCCAGTCCAGCGGAGCAGCCTGGGGTGGGCTTTCTCAGTGCTCAGGCAGATGGGCCATTTTGCAAGGAGCCCAAAACCCTGTGGCCACAAGGAGGTGGGAGAAGCTCTGGCGGGATGCCTCCCCGGCCCCCACCTTGTCCCAAGCCACAGCCCCTACTGCATGAAGATGCGCCACCTGAAGGATCTTCCCGCAACGTGGGAGCCTGAGGTGCAGAAGGCTTGTTGGGGTCCCTGGTTCTGGGCGGTCTCAGGGAGTGTGCTGGGGACCCCGGGAGCTGGGAGGCCTGAGGTCCCCAGCCAGCCCTTGGTCCTGCGAGGTCCGGGGAGGACAGGGTCTCCTGGGGTGCCTTGGCGGCTCCCACCCCTGTTCTCCCCCCAGGGGGCGCCTGGCCCGGCCAGAGCGGGAGGAAGCGGAGGGGGCGCCCAGGTGCAGAGCAGCCATGGGCGCGGGGGCTAGGACGCTGCTGCTGGCGCTGCTGCTGGCGCGGGGCGCACCCCAGGAGCCGGGTGAGCTGGGGTCGCCGCGGGGGGACCCGAGGGCATGGGGGGAGGCCGGGGAGCGTGGACGCCAGGGAGCTCACCTGCTCTTCTCCGCGCAGAATCGCGGATTTGGGACCCGCTGGCAGGTAGGGCGCGCAGGACGCGCTGCGCGGAGCCGCCGGGCCGGGTGCGGGGGTGCGGGGGTGCGGGTGCGCGGGACGCCTCACCCTCCTCTCCTCCGCTGCAGGTCCCATGAACACCAGGCTGTTCTCAAGTAACCGACGGGCCCGGGGGCGGGGCGGGCTGTGCGGGGAGGGTCCGGTGTCACCTCCTTCCCCAGCGGGGCGACCCGGGGGCGCGCGCTTCTACCGGGATCCCGGGTCTTCACACACCCGGGGCGAGGGTGGGCGGGCTGGGCTGTGGCTGCCCTCAGTGCGCGTCGCTCTCTCCATCCCAGAGCCCTGCGGAGAGCGGGAAAATAAGCCGCTGATCGTGGGCGGGGTGGAGTCGGCCCGCGGGCGCTGGCCCTGGATGGTCAGCCTGATTAGGGAGAAGAAACAAGTCTGTGGCGGGTCCTTGCTGAACCGCCGCTGGGTGATGTCAGCCGCGCACTGCTTCGCAAAGTGAGTGGGGGGCGCGCTGGGGGCGGGGCGAGGAAGTGCTCAGGCTGGGGCCCCCGCAGCTGGCCTCTCCTCTGGCGCCAGGGCCATGGAGACCTGGAGTTCCCCACAGCCTCAAGGAGGGCCTGCACGCTCACACCCACAAGAGATTCCCTGGAGGGAACCCCGGGCATGTTGTTCCAGAATGTTCTTTCAGAACAATCCCATGCACCTTGGGGGCATCGTCCTTTTGCCTTACAAACCGCAAGGTGGGCTTCCACCCCGATTCCCCCTCAGCAGGTGTGGACCAAGGTGGGGGAGGCATGAGCTGAGGTGGGCTGGGGGCTGGGCACCCAGCTGCCTCCACCCTGCCCAGTGCCCACCCTGGTGGCCTCCTCTGCCAGCTCCTTTTTGGCTGCACAGAGGCTCACTGGAGGGCTGGGCGCAGTGTCCCTGTCCTAGGACAGCTCTGTGCGGTGACGAGATGAGGGGGAGGGGAGGAAGCCCCGTCCCCTCCGGGTCCCCAGGCTCTGGACGTGGTGGTGGCAGTCTGTGAGCTGGACTTGCTGGTGGCTTGTGGGAAGGCCGGTGTGGCAACCCCCAGTCAGTGTCACCTCCCTGCATGGCCCCATGTGCCCAGGGGGTGGCGCTGCTGCGCAGGCCTGAGAGCGCTCTCCTCTGCCAGGTACGCAGATGTGGACAGCTGGCGGGTCCAGGTGGGTCAGCTGAGGAGTGGGTCGTTTCCAGAGCGCTTCAGGACATACATAGGCGTCTCATACAGAGTGAAGAAGATCATCATTCACCCCCGAAGCACTCGCCTGCGGCACGACATCGCCCTGCTGCAGCTGGCCTCCCGCGTGTACTACACCCCAAACACCCGGCCCGTCTGCGTGCTCTCCTCCACTGCCATGTTCCAGCACCGGCACGACTGCTGGGCCACTGGCTGGGGCTTCATCTCAGACAACGGCAGTGAGCCCGGCACAACATGGGGGGGAGGGGGCGCTGTCCTGGACACCCTGTTCCCGCCACAGCTGGCCCAGCAGCCCCTTGGTGCCCTCTGGGGCCCGGGAGCTCTTTGCACCTGCTTTCCTCGGGCCCCCACCTGCAGGGCAGGATCCCACATGGGCCTCGCCAGGGACCGTGGGCACCAAAAGCCAGGGTTGGGGGAAATTGCATGGCCAGTCCAGGCACCCTCAGGCAGGGGCCATCATCTTTGTGCCAATGGGGAACTGAGTGTCGGGGGACCCTCGCTCTCCCCTGCCCTGGATGGCACAGGACAGGCGAAGGGTGCTCTTTGTTCCACCTCCAGCCGAGATACCCCCTCCATACAACCTCCGGGAAGTGCAGCTCGCCATCATCAACAACACCTGGTGCAACCACCTCTACTCACTGCCCGCTGTACGCTATTTTGTCTGGGATGACATGATCTGTGCTGGCCGAGAAGGCGGCGGGGCAGACACCTGTGGTGTGAGTAAACCCCACTCCCTGCCGTCCCAGCCCCCTCCCCGCCCCCAGCTGCAGTGCCTGCATGAGAGCAGTGGCAGGGGCAAACCACCTCCTTCCACAGTCCTCTCCTCCTCCTCACGCCAGGCCCGGGTGCTGCTGGCCCACTTTGCAGATGCAGAAGCTGAGGCGTGCCCGCTGCATGGGAGGGGAACTTGCACCTCCTGCTCTCCCGCCCCCCCTCCCTGCCCCAGGCCATGCTCACCACGTTGCTCCCCAGGGCGACTCAGGGGGACCCTTGGTCTGTGACATCGATGGAATCTGGTACCAGGTCGGAATCGTGAGCTGGGGAGAGGGCTGTGGGCTACGCACCCGGCCCGGTGTCTATACCAATGTCAGCCAGCACTTCAAGTGGATAAAGTTGGTGGCTGGTGTGCCCAAGCCGGACCCCTCCCCTACTCTGCTGCTGCTGGCTCTGCGCTGTGCTTCCTGGGTTCTGTGGGCAGCATGAGCCGCCCACCCCACCCCCCACACCTATGAGGGTGTGCTGGGTGCCCCAGCGCCAGCCCCTTCCCCGGGGCTGTAGGCACCCAGGGCTGGGGTGGGGACTGCCTGTGGACCTGGCTCCTATCCTCTGTGTCTCATTTGCTAATAAACCTGTGTGGGCACCCCAGCTGTCACTCTAAGGTTTGTGCAGAGCCAGCGTCTTCATGAGCAACTCCCTCTGTTCAGCCAAGTCCATCCAGCCCAAGACAGTCCCCCCACTCCCAAACCTCTGTCCCCCGACAGTCACGCTCTGGTTGAACCAGGAGAGCCCCCTCCAGTGCGTGCAGGCAGGAAGATAAAGATGGCAGCGCAGGCCTGGCTCCAGGTGGCTGGGGGCGGGGGCACATGCTCCCGAGGCCCCATTCCCCTGTCCCCACCACAGAAGCCCCGGACACCGCTGCTCCTGCCATGGGCCCCAGAGGCTGGCCTGGCTCAGGACGGGGTGCAGGTGTGCAGTGGGAGGTGGTTCCCGGGAATCACGGGGAGGAAGAGGCAGGGGAGGCAGCAATGCTGATGCGTTTGCAGGGACGAGGAGGTCCCCCCGTGGGCGACTGAGTTGCCGTCCTGCTGGGCCCTCGGCCTTGGCTCCCCCAGGACAGAGCAGGTGGGGCGGTTGGCTCTCTCTGGAATCCCGCCCTGCTCGTGCTGAGGGTGGTCCCAGGGCCCGGGAAGGTGCAGAGCTGGAGCAGATGGCAGGGGAGGCTGTGGGAGCCTGGGAGCCGCTCGGCGCCACTTGGGGGCGGCAGGTCTGTGTCCTCCCTGCCTGGCTCCCCGTGAGGGTCCTGGGCTGCAGGCTCCTTCTGGGCAGGACCCGTCCAGCGGGGTGGAGTCACCAGTTCCTCTCAGCTGTACAGGATGTCCATGCCTCTGCCCTGTGTGTGGTCTGTTGGCGGCCAGGGCATCCTGTCTGGCGAGACTGGGCCGGTTCACACAGGGCCAGCTTGAGGCCAGGGGCTGGGGCGTCCGAGGCATGACTGAGTCCACGTGATTTTGGAACAGAGTGCGTTCAGGGGCCCTGGCAACGTCTGAGGTTCGTGATGCCGATGTAATTGGACGGGTGGAGGAGAGCGAGCGGGGCCAGTGTGACAGCCCCTGGGGAGCAGTGGGGGCTGGGGTCGCAGGGGTTCTGTGTCTGCAAAGACAGAAATGAACAAGGAACAGACAATCCGAGCATGGCAGTGGCTCCGGGTGTCAGTGGGGACAGGGCAGACTGGGGGTGGGGCTGTGCTCCTGGCGCAGGACAGCGAGCTCAGAGCTGTGCCTCCCTCTCACTTGCCTTCAGCCTCGGCCCTGCCTGCTGCCTGTGCAGCCCAGTTCACTCACTCCCAAGTCCTCAGGGCCAGCTCTGCCCACTGGTGACTGTCAGATCTGAACACTAAGTCCCCTCCAAAAACTCAGGTGTGAAGCCTGAGCGCCCCCCACCTGCAGCCCGGGGCTGACCGAGTGCAGATTCTCCTGCCGATGCCCTGGAGCCGCGGAGCTTCTAAGGGAGAAGAGGGAAGGCGCAGCCTCTTTTTCCCCCTGCCTAGGAAGGGAATCCACTTTACTGGCCCCTTGATCTGTTCCAGGTAAGGAAACAGGTAGGGGCCAGAAAGAGCTGGAGGAAGTCACCACACCCTTTCCCGAGCTGCCTCTAAGACCCCCGCTCCCCCACCCCGGGCCTGCAGCCTCAAGTCGGCACTGCCCAGACTGGCGCCAGCTGAAAACCTCCAACATGGCTGCTGACTGCGTCTCCACCAGGCCCTGGGCCCCGCTGACACGCCCACTCCCAGCATGAACCCGACACCTGTCCCGGTGTCAGGCAGCCCTCAAACCCCTGGAGATCCCGCCTTCCCTTCTGGAAAACTGCCCTGAGATCTCTGCACACACCCTGCGTGTGTAATTTCACCTGGCGGATCAATCTTACTCCTCGCGAACCCTTAGCTGCATCTCAGCTCCCGATTGCCAGTCTTTTCTTGGGTTGGGCCCCTCGGGCCCCAACAGAACCACGAGAAATGAATTCTGTTGTTTAAGCCTCCTCCGGGCATGGACCCGGCTCCAGTCTCGTGAGGGTCATCAACAGACATCAATCTCAAGTCCAGGGCCCAGGCAGGGAGGCCCCCAGAGAGCAAGTGAGAGGGGGTGATTGGTCAGAGAAAGTTCTGGGTAGTTGGGGGAACCGGAGGGCACTTGCCAGCCCCGGGCTCCATCCTGGCTCCAGCTCTCCCACGGCTCGGCAGTCCCTGTCCCCTGTCCCTGGCTGCTCAGCCTAGCTCTGTCCTGGCCACCCCAAAACAGAGGGTGGATTGTTTCTCAAGGTCATATCTGCTCCTGTCCTTGGTCAAGTCCACAATCTGTCCACTGTGAACCACTGTGAGCCCTGGCCAGCCTGGGGTCTCTGTGCCAGTTGGGCTGGCCAGGCTCAGCCCCAGAGCCCAACCCTGCCGGGAGCGGGAGCAGGAGCAGGAGCAGGTTCAGAGACCAGCCAGACCACAGTCCCCGCCCCCTTCTCAGTGCCTTGTCCCAAGGGAGGCTTCCTTCAGACACCCGGGGGTCCGTCCTGTAGCACTGTTCAAAGACTCTTTGTTTGAGGCTGGTCAGGTGAAGCCGCAGCCCCGCCCCGGCAATGACCCCCTGGCTGGGCCTCCGCCCTCCTGCCCTTTAAGCCCCCAAGCCTCCCCCCAGGCCCAGTAAGCACAGAGGGCGCCAGGCTGTCCAGGGCTGCCAGCTGGACAAGGGCAAGTATCAGCAGCCGAAACGGGAGAGGCCTTTGCCCCATGTCCAAGTATGGGGGCAGGGGCTGCACACGCAGAGGTGGTCCCCAGGCAGAGGAAAGGGTCTGGAGCCTGGGTCACAGGCACAGTCCAGGACCAATCAGGAACTGAGAGCGGGCTGGGGGTGGGGTGGGGGCGGGGGTGGGGAGAGGTGAGGGGCTTGTGTCCCAATGTAAGGGCACTCCCGCCTTCTTCCTGAGGCTCCAGCCCACAGCCCAAGGTCTGGGCATCCCTGTCCTTTCCCAGCTCCGAAGGCAGAATGGAGGGGGCTTCGCACCTGTGGGTTCTGCTCCTGGTGGTGCTAGGTGAGCAGGGGCCGGGTGGAGGGACGGTGGGGTGTGGCTGGCTCAGAGCCTTGGTTCCAGGACAGCACCCTTGGGCCTTCCGGTCGACTCCAAGGGCTCCCGTCTTGGCAGCCACTGACCTGGTGCTCTCCGAACCCTTGTGTGCTGCTCTGTGCCGTGGGTTTAAGCCCACGGCACCCGCAGTGCTCTGGGCGAGTTAACTCACATCTCTGCACAAAGCCTGGCACTAGGTCAGCCCTCCGTAATCTCTGACCTGCCGCGGAAACCTTAATCCACAACCTTTCCTGCTTCCCTCCAGGAGCTGCCGAGTCGCCAGGGCGGGCAGGTAAGGAGGGGGGCTCCCCCTCCCACCGCACTGCCCCAGGCCTCAGTCCTCGGGCCACCCTCACTGCCCCTCATCTCCTCGCAGCCTGCGGCCAGCCTCGCATACCCAATCGGATCGTGGGGGGCCGAGACGCCCGGGAAGGGGAGTGGCCCTGGCAGGCGAGCATCCAGCGCCGGGGGGCGCACGTGTGCGGGGCTGCGCTCATCGCCCTGCAGTGGGTGCTGACGGCGGCGCACTGCTTCCCCAGGTCTGCGGCCAGCGCGCGGGCCCAGTGGGCGCGTGGAGGTGTGAGGCGGGGCTGATCCCAGGGAGCGGGTGGGGTCGCGGCGTTGCTGCTGAGCAGTTCTGCTCCTGCAGGCGGGTGCTGCCGTCCGAGTACCGTGTGCGCCTGGGGGCGCTGCGCCTGGCCCCCACCTCGCCCCGCGCGCTCTCCGCTCCTGTGCTGCGGGTGCTGCTGGCCCCCGACTACTCCGAGGACGCGGCCCGTGGAGACCTGGCGCTGCTGCAGCTGCGGCGCCCGGTGCCCGTGAGTGCCCGCGTCCAGCCTGTCTGCCTGCCCGAGCCCGGCGCCCGCCTGCCCATCGGCTTCCCGTGCTGGGTCACCGGCTGGGGCAGCCTCCACCCAGGAGGTGAGACCTGGGGGCGTTGGGGGAGCCTCCCACTCCTCCACCGGACTGGAAATCCCAGCCCCAATCTGGGACCCCACGCGACTTCTGGACACTGAGCCTTCCTAGCTGGAACCGGGAGACCCGCCTGGCAGGCCGGCCTCTCAGGCTCAGCTTCTGCCACGGACCCCAGCCTCATACCTTGGCCTATGGCTCTCAGAAGGCCCCCCTCTGCCCCTAGTGCCGCTCCCTGCGTGGCGGCCCCTGCAGGGAGTGAGGGTGCCGCTGCTGGACGCGCAGGACTGTGACCGCCTCTACCACCTGGGCACTGGGGTGCCCCAGGCCGAGCGCATCGTGCTGCCCGGGACCCTGTGCGCCGGCTACCAGGAAGGCCACAAGGATGCCTGCCAGGTGTGCGCTCGCCTCTGAGCCTCTGGAGTCCACACCCCTGTACTCAGCACCCCACCTCCTAGAACCCAGGTCCCAGGTGTCACCTCTACACTCTGTCCCAGTCACCCGCCCAGGGGCTTGGGGTCAGGAAAACTCCCAAGTCGGGGGAGGACTGGGACCTAGGCTGGTCCTTCTTCTCTCGCAGGGGGACTCTGGAGGACCCCTGACCTGCGTGCAGTCTGGGCACTGGGTCCTGGTGGGCGTGGTGAGCTGGGGCAAGGGCTGCGCCCTGCCCAACCGTCCCGGCGTCTACACCAACGTGGCCGCATACAGCCCCTGGATTCGGGCGCACCTCAGTCTCTGATGCTGGTGGGTGATGCTGGCCCTTCAGCCTCCTGGCCCCAAAGGGGATCTGCACACAGCCCTACCCTTCCGACTTGAGGCAGAGGTGTCCGCCCCTCCTCCTCGGCTCTGGGCAGGGCTGGGTGTGGGGCACACAGATGGGCCAACACTCTGGGCCCTGTCCACCTGTTTTCCTGGAGGTCAGGCAAGTGTGAGGCATGAACGTCTCCTCCGCTGGCTTTGGTAGAGCCGTGGGCAGCCGCAGGAGACGGGAGCCTCAGACCCCTCGCCAATACCCTGAGGGGGCTTGGGAACGTTCCTCCCCCGCCTCCAGGTAACAGCCCTGCCCTGCCGTGCCTGTATCTCAGCCTGGTGAGTGCGCAAGAACACGAGAACTGCCCAGCCTTCGGAGCCACCGAGCTGTGGGCTAATATATTTGTGCTTTTCTAAGCTGCTACCTTTGCGGCAGTTTCTTTTTTTAAAAGATTTATTTATTTATGTGACAGTCAGAGTTACACAGAGGAGGAGAGGGAGAGAGAGAGGTCTTCCATCCGCTGGTTCATTCCCCATTTGGCCGCAACAGCTAGAGCTGCACCGATCCAAAGCCAGGAGCCTGCAGCTTCTTCCAGGTCTCCCAGGTGGGTGCAGGGGCCCAAGGACTTGGGCCATCTCCTGCTGCTTTCCCAGGCCACAGCAGAGAGCTGGGTCGGAATTGGAGCAGCTGGGTCTCAAGCTAGCGCCCATATGGGATGCCGGCACTGCAGGTGGCGGCTTTACCTACTGTACCACAGCCCCGGGCCCTGTGGCAATTTCTTGAATGACAGACACACCAGCACACCAGCATTTTGGCACAGTTAAGCTCCTGCCTGTGACGCCAGCATCCCTATGAGCACCATTGGGGTCCCAGCTGCTCCACTTTGATCCTGTTCCTTCCTACTGCGCCTGGAAAGCAGAAGATGGCCAAGTCTCTCATGTGGGAGACCCAGATGGACTTCTAGGTTCCTGGTTTTGGCCTGGCCTTGCCCTGGCCATTGCAGCCATCTGGGGAGTGAACGGGCACATGGAAGTGTGCTTGCTTTCTCTCTCCTTGTCACTCTGCCTTTCAAATAAATAAATAAATCTTTAATTAAAAACAAACAAACAAACAGGGGCAGGCACTGTGGCACAGCAGAAAAGCCACCGCCTGCAGTGCTGACATCCCATGTGGGCGCCGGTTCGAGTCCCGGCTGTTCTACTTCCGATCCAGCTCTCTGCTGTGGCCTGGGAAAGCAGCGGAGGATGGCCCAGGTCCATGTGCCTCTGCACTTACGTGGGAGACCAGGAAGAAGCTCCTGACTCCTAGCTCTGGATCTGTGCAGCCATCTGGGGAGTGAACCAGTGGATGGAAGACCACTCCCTCTCTGCCTCTGCCTTTCAAATAAATGAATGAATCTTAAAACAAACAAAACAAGAACCTAACACAGTGTGCCCTGCTGTGGCGGAGGTGTCCCGGGCAGTGGGCTGGCCTTCCACACACTTCCCGAGTTCCTCGACGCAGGGAGGTCAGGAGCTCCAGGCGGGCCCAGCCGAGTCCTTTCTGTTGCCACCGTTCACTCCCAGGGTAAGCCTGGGCACATCCTCGCCACCGCACACTTCCCTGGCAGCCTGGGACATGGCCTCTTGTCCCCTCCTTGCCATGCCCAGGCCCAGGCCCACTATTCCGGCCACTAAACAGGCCAGATCTGCAGAAGGAACACAAACAACAAAACATGAACGAATCAAAATCCACCAATGGGGAGCGAACCCCACCCACAGCCGCCCAGGCCTGAGCTCAGCTCGTGCTGTTGTTCTCCAAGGGAGCCAGGGCAGTACCGTGTTGGGCGGTCAGGGTGGGCCTGTGGACCGTAGTCCACTGCAGGCAGAGCCAGGCTGGCCCCAGGAGGGCAGCAGGACCTGATGGGCCCTACAGGGAGCCAGCAGCTGTCCATCACGTCATTCACCAGTCCACCCCATGGCCCTCCCCCAGGAGCCTCCCTGGGGGCAGCACACCAGGCCACATGGGCCCAGGTCTGCCACACTGCATCGTGGGTCCCCTCCCCGCGAGCCCAGCTTCTGGAGCACAACTGGGCAGCAAACCAGGGGCTTTCCCGAAGTGGGAGTGGAGGGGGCTGGGCAGGAAGGGGAACAATTGAGGAGGAGGAACCAAAACTCCTTGTCAAGGCTCCCCTGCGACACTCCAGGCCCTGGGAGGTGCACCGGCTCCTCTGTCAGGCCCAAAGTCACACAGCGGGCGACGCAGAAGACGGGCGCCCACTCCCAGGCCTGATGGGTGGGGGCGGGGCTTCGCCTCTGCTCCCTCCTCTCAGCCCAGGCCTGGGCGGCAGCTTGTGGACTGTGGCTGGCAGGTCACCGCTCTTGTGACACCTGTCACCGACTACACTAGCCGCATTCTTACCCCTTCCCTGTGGGCCCCACCTGCCAGCTGACAGGCTGCAAGACCGCGCTCAGGAAGGGAGCCATCTTGCGACGGTGGCCAGGGAAACTCCAGAAAAGACACAAACACGGGGAGCCCACCCAACACGCTCCTGAACCAACGGTGAGTCACCAAGAAGTCACAACACCCTGAGAAACGAGTACAGACGACAACACAGCACATTAACTGTGGGACACAGCAACAGCAGGCTGAGGAGCCGTGTTCACAGCGATCAGTGCCTACATCAAGAAGCTAGACCGGCCTCAGGTGAGGGACCCAAGGCTGCGGGGAAAAAGGCACTTCCCAGCTGCCCCACTGCCGCCGCCATCAGAGGGCGCAGCCTCTCAGGGAAGCACCGACAACCTCCATCTCTCCACGGACGATCTGAACAGACGAAACCTGCGGCGTGGCTGTGGGCGTGAGAAGATGGAGCCCCAACACTCATCGCATCTCGCAGACAGGGACTCAGGCCCAGAGGTCTGAGTCCACAGCTTCTAAGTAGTGGAGTCGGATTTGAACCTGGGCAACTGACACCAAGCAGCGCTTTAAAAAGAAAAAATTTATTTATTGAAAAGCCAGAGTGACAGAGAGGGACAGGCCGGCGCCGTGGCTCACTAGGCTAATCCTCTGCCTTGCAGCGCCAGCACACCGGGTTCTAGTCCCAGTCAGGGCGCCGGATTCTGTCCCGGTTGCCCCTCTTCCAGGCCAGCTCTCTGCTGTGGCCCGGGAGTGCAGTGGAGGATGGCCCAAGTGCTTGGGCCCTGCACCCCATGGGAGACCAGGAGAAGCACCTGGCTCCTGCCATCGGATCAGCGCGGTGTGCCAGCCACAGCACGCCAGCGTGGCGGCCACTGGAGGGTGAACCAACTGCAAAGGAAGACCTTTCTCTCTCTCTCTCTCACTGTCCACTCTGCCTGTCAAAAAAAAAAAAAAGAGAGGGATAGATAGCAAGCCATCTTCCATCCACTGGCTCACACCCCCCCCCCCCCCCCCAAAGACAACAGCCAGGCCTGGGCCAGGCGGAAGTCAAGGCCCACCTCACACATGGGTGGAAGGGCCGGAGTGCTGCGGGGATCAAGGGCCCTTGGAAAGAGCTGCAGCTGGGCCCAGTCCTGGTTCTCATCTCTGCACAAGTCAGAACACAACCGGACAGGATTTACGGAAGGCAGAAAGACAGCACAGGCTCCTGGGTGCAGCAACTGGAGAACCGCCCCGCCCAGGGCATCTGGAGCCTGATGGGAAGTGGAGCTCAGCCTCCCAGGCGCACTTTAACCCTCTCTGGGACGCTTGCTTCTACAAGGCAGCCTCAAGGCCGGCCCTGCGGTGCAGCAGGTAAAGCCGCCGCCTGCACCACCAGCATCCCGTACGGGCACCAGGCTGAATCCCAGCTGCTCCGCTTCCAGGCCAGCTCCCTGCTGCGGCCTGGGAGAGCAGCAGAGCCCGGCCCCAGTGCTTGGGCCCCTGCACACGTGGGAGACCCGCATGGAGCGGCTGGCTCCGGCCTAAGCTGGGGAGTGAACCAGTGGGTGGAAGACCTTTCAACCCCTCTCTCTGTAACTCCCTCGAATAAACCAGTCTTTAAAAAACGAAAGGAAGGAAGGAAACCTTCGGCCTAGACAGTACTCCTCTCCGCTGCCTCCTACCCCACCAGGGAGCAGGGGCAGCCCGCAGGACCGCGCGAGGGCCTGGGAGCAGGCGGCGGCGGCTCTGGGCTGCCCTCGCGGACTTCGGACCCGAGAGAGTCGGGCAGCTTTAACGAGAACACAAAACCGGAGCTCTTCTGGCTGCAGGCCCACCACGTCTCCCCCGCGCCCCTTGTTCCGGGACCCGGCTGTGCAGAGGGCTGTCACTCGTGGGATTTCTCCCCAAACAGCACCGCGGTGCAAGGCGGTGATCCCCGAGGTGTCGCTCACGGGGGATGGGAGGGCAGGATCCGCCTGCAAGGTCATGGACGGGTCCTCCTCAGCCGCACAGCCTGCCCGCACACGGGCCGGGACACTGCGCGCCCGCCATCCTGACGGGCGGCAGCGGGGCAAGGCGGCGTCCCGAGGCCCGCTGCCCACTCCCCGGGCCTCCACGGCGGCCGGCAGGCCTCGGACGCCCCCGGCACCGACCCGGGCAGGGGCAGCGCCGGGGTCCGGCCGACGCAGGCCCGCGCCCTGAGGCCCCCGGAGGGCCCCGCTGGCTGGCGGAAGGGGCGTGGCCAGCCAGGGATCCAGGCCGCAGGCCCCTCCGGCGCCCTCGCGCCCAGCCTCGGCCCGCTTCTCCCTGGGGCCACCCCGGGGCTCAGGAGCTTCACCTCACCCTGAGGGGTGCAAAAACCCTTACACTCCAGGCCCGGACGCGGCGATGGGAACGTGGCCCCAGTACGGTGGCTGGGCGGTCCAAAATATAGAACCTTCCCCAAATGACCGCCAAAGTCAGAGCCCTCAACATGGCAGCCCAGGCCTCACTGAAGCTTGCCGTCCCGTGACCGAGACTCACATCACTCATCACATTCCCCGACAGGCGAGTGCTCCGCGCTCGTAGCGAGCCCCAGAAACCCCCGGAAGAGCGCCATGCCTGGGGCCAAGGCCCCGCTCCCACCCACGGGCGGCCTGGTTTTTGCCACTCCCAAGATGGCGCCATCAGCCGTCTCCCTCTCTCTCGCGCGCGCGCGCCCGCTCCCGGTCCCCGCCCAACCGCTTCCGTTTCCCGGAATCGAGAATGCCGCCCGAGCGCGAATGGAAACAAACCCGTTCGGGCTCGCTCAAAAGGCCGGCGCGGGCCCGATGCTGGGACTGTTCCTCGCGCGGGGGCATGTCCGAGCCGCGCACAGACTTCTGGGGAACGTGGTGTAGCGCGTGCTGCTCCCGGAGCTGTCGAGGGGGAGATACTAGCCGCCGCGATGGTGAGCGGGCGCGGGGGGAGGGGCGGCCGGGCCGGGCCGGGGGCGCCGGGGGCGGCGGGCCGCGCGGGGGGGCCCGGGCTCTGTGCTCACGCCGGCCTGCCGCCCCCAGGACGTGTTCCTCATGATCCGGCGTCACAAAACCACCATCTTCACGGACGCCAAGGAGTCGAGCACCGTCTTCGAACTGAAGCGCATCGTCGAGGGCATCCTCAAGCGGCCGCCCGACGAGCAGCGGCTGTACAAGGTGCGCCCGCGGCCCGGCCGGGCGGCGGCCGAGTCATCGCTGTGGGCAGGGGCCGGCCGCCGCCTCGGTCCCGCCGCGGGGGTGGGACATCCGTTGTGCGGGTGAAGCGCGAGCGGCGCTCGGGGCGCCGGGCGGGCCTGTGCGGGGGCACTGATGAGTCGCGTGCGAGGCCCGGGCCCCTGCGCTCTGGGCAGCGCTGGCTTCCGTTTGAGGACGCTGAGGCTTGGCGCCGGGGTCCCGGAGCCGGGGCTTGCGGCGGTCACACGGCCGGGGGTAGGGCCGAGGGCCGGAGAGAGGGGGTCACGAGGTCAGCTGCCCCGGCTGCTGCCCGTGCGCCCCGCAGGGGCGGCCCTGGCCGTGGCGGGTCGGTAAGGAGGGCCTGCGGTTCTGTCTCGGGTCATCGGAGGCGGCGTCCGGCCTCAGAGCCTCCCTCCTCCACGCTGAGCTCTCGGGGGCTCCCTGCTGGAAACTCCTGGTTGCCCTGTGACTTGGGAATTCTGGCAATTCTCGTTTGCCGCACGAGGAAGCTGTGCCTTGTCCAGGGTGGCAGAGCGGGGCCCGAACCCAGGCATGCCTAGCTCCAGACTGGGTCACTGGCTTCCAACTTGAGATCCGCCCGAGGGCGGAGGACATTCCAGAGCCGCACTCTGGGAGGTCTGATTTGGGGATTCTTGGGTCCGGAGGCGCCTCTGGCCTTTCCCAAGCAAGGCCCTGCCTTTCTCCCCAGGACGACCAGCTTCTGGATGACGGCAAGACCCTGGGCGAATGCGGCTTCACCAGTCAGACGGCACGGCCACAGGCTCCAGCCACAGTGGGACTGGCCTTCCGGGCAGGTGAGACGGCCTGGTGGCAGCCAGGCAGGCTGGTGGCAGCCAGCGGAGAGGGTCCTGCACATGGGCGGGACTCGCAGGCTGAGAGCAAGGCGGTCTCCTCTCACACGCTTTCTTCATAAAAGAAGGCGCGAACGAGAGGCTTGCAGACATGCAAGCCTGTTTCCCAGAGAATTCTCAGCTCCCCGGTCCCACATGCAGCCCCAGGTTAGCACTGCCCTCGTCTTGCGCTCTGGGCAGTGCCTTGCCGAAAGCCTCAGCTTTTGTGTGGCTGAGACCTGGAGCGTGCCAGTCTGCCAACTCCAGGATTCAAGGCAGAGCCTGCCCAGCGGAACCTCTGCAGCTCTGCAGGCTCCCACCCCTTCCCAATAAAGGGGTGCCACAGAAGCGGCCTCCACCACAAGGCCGCGTGAACGCGTGCACCCAGCCTGACCTGCTGCAGGGGGTCCAGAGCTGGGTGGCTTAGGGGCCTCTCTGTGGGTTCCTCCTGCTCGTGGTCCTGCTTAGGTGGGTGCAGAGCTAGCAGAGATGGGCAGGACCACGTTCTCCCAGCAGCAGCACCCCCTAATAGTTCTGAGAGGCACCCTAGATGTTAGGGTGATGGAGACCCACTTTGGAGAGTGGGAAGACGAAGGCCTAGGGAAGTGACTTGTTTTCCCCTCCAGCCCTCATTATGGCACTGAGTATGGTGGGGTCCGGACGCTGGATGGTGTCCTCCCAGACAGGTGCCGGGTGGGCTGCCTGCTCTCCTTCCCCAGATGGCTGCACTTGTGTCAGTGTGCTTCTCGGTGGAGAGGCATTTGTCAGCATTAGGCTCCTTTCTTGGTTTGATGTGCCACCCTGTCATTTACTGCCCATACCCCTTTCTGACCCTGAACGCTGTGGTTCACTGTTAGAGATTAGTCTGGCCGATGCCAGCTAACACTGAAGTGAGAGAGGTGGTAATGGCAGCACTTGTCACTGGGGATTTGTGGCTCGAAAGGGATTAGGCTGGGTCAGGTTTCTTAGCCTGAGCAATACTGGCGTTTAGGGCTGTGCCACACAATCCAAGAGGTTTCCGTGTACGGGCCTCTACCCTATATCTCCAGTTGCATGACAACTCCTTTGCGAATCCAGAGCCAAGTGATTCGAATCTGAGGTGGGAAGTACAGGAGAAAAGGTGTGAGGTTTATCTGCTGGTTTAACAGGAAAGCAGCCAGGCCACAGAAACAGCAGTTTGAGACTGGGATGCTGTGACTGTTCATGGAAGGGACTGGGATGGTTTCTGTCCAAGGACGGCCTTCTGCCCCAGCCATGCAGAGTGCCAAGACCTTGGTGTGGGAACATAGTGATCAGTTGTCCAAAAGCCCGAGACTGATAGGAAGCCCTGCCCTCCGGAGGAGTTATGTGGAGAGGAATTGTTTCATTTTAAAATCACTGATTAGGTGTAAATGGAACAGATGGGGTGAGAGTGGATGTAGGGAGACAGTGGCTAGGCTTTAACTGTTGGGAAACAGGTGCACACCAGCATGGAGCAGCCCTTCCAGCTCTGTCCCCTTCCCCACCCAGATGACGCTTTCGAAGCTCTGCGCATCGAGCCCTTCTCCAGCCCCCCGGAGCTGCCTGATGTCATGAAGCCCCAGGACTCAGGGAGCAGCGCCAACGAACAGGCTGTGCAGTGAGGGCCTCGCGCCCACCCCTCCAGAGGCCCACTCCCCACCCCCAATAAAAGAGATTTGGGTGTCTGCCTGGTTGCTGCCTCTTTCTCCCCACCGTCCTCCAGACTCCAGGCACTCCCTGCGCTGTCCTGCCAGCACCGGGGACCTGGCTGCCCTGCAAGCTGGACCACTCTCCTCAGCCAACATGGGGAGAGGATCAGTTTGGGAGGGAACAGTGGATGCTCCGAGGCCTGGCAGCAGGATCTGTGAGGGAATCCCAACCTAGAACAGCTACCACAGCCTGCCACGCCTTCCAGATCCTGACAGCGACAGCACACGTGGTTCCTCCTTCACTGTACCTAATAAAGCAGGCTACAGACCCAATCCCTGCATTTCTCATTTTTATTTGACAGAAAAAGTTGCTCTTGCTGTACAGATTTTAAAAAACCAAAATGCCTTTTAAGAAACATGAAAAGTTGGGGGGAGGGGACCACAACCTCATGGGGGGCAGTCGGGGCCAGCTAATTTCAACTCCTGCCCCTTCCAAGAATACCTCACACAGCTTACCAAATCCAAATCCTAAACCAGCACAGCCCCAGGGATACTCGGGATCCACAGAGGGTGTGCCTCCCAGGCCCTTTCTGACTCCAGCCCAGGGTGTCCTGAACTACATACGTCCCTCCCCCAACTCCCATCTGCTTTCCCTCCCACCCCAAACCCCCCAAAACACGTGAACCAGGAAAAACTCACAGAGATTAACATTTCACAGGAACAAAGGAAAGGAAAAAAAAAAGTGAGGGGACTCTCCCCCCAAGACGTTGCCAGGGCTCAAGGGGGCAGACAAGAAACCCTCCCACGGCTGTTCGGGAAAAGAGCACGCCCTGTGGCTCCACGGCATGGGTATGGTGGAATCCCCCTAAGATTTACGGAGACCTGCAAGAGAGGAGATGTGGGATCAGAACAGGGCCTGGCCCTCAGCTCTCCCCCCAACCCCCACTGCCAGGAAAGAGCCTTCCCTCAGCCCTTCTCAAGAACACACCTGGAGGAGCGGTGTCGCACGGGCCGGGGGCTGGGTGTCTCCCTCCTGCGCTTGTGGCCAGGGGAGCGGCCGTCCCCATGCTGGCCTCTGCGGGAACCCCGCTCACCACTGCTGCAACACCAAACTCATGTCAGAGCCCAAGCACCTGACCGTGAACGCTCCATCTTCCAGTTAGCTGGCGGCACCCAGAGCGAGGGTGCAGCCGCTGCTGCTTGCTGTGCAGCGGGCCTTACCTCTGCTGGTCCCGCGGTGAGGGCTGGGGTGAGGGACAGTGACGCTCCACAGGTGAATAGCTGAGGGACCGGGAGTCCCGAAGAGAGTCTATTGGCTTCCGGGGGCTGCGAGACCTGAGAAGCAGAGGAGACCTCTATAGCACCACTCTCTTCCAAACCCACCAGCCAGCACTCAGGACCACCCACCCAGGTCCTGACCACCAAACCTCACACCACACGGGGCCAGCCTCAGACCCACCTTTGTCCGCACTCACCCATCCGCCCGCACACCATCCACCGAGTGTCCCCAGTGGGCAGGCCACAGGGGGCAGCGGGGGATGCAAAGATAAAGACAGTCCCTGCACTTGGAGGAACTCAGTCTGGTGGTGGACGGAGGCCAACAGGTCAGGCACACATGGCCCCCTGTGTAGGAAGCAGGCCCAGGGTAGTGGATGTGCACACATCTGGGGGCCCAGGGGAGGGGCCCAGGGGTGGGGTGGGGCAGGGGCAGGGCAGTCTTCTCGGAGGTGCTGTTTGAGCGGAGTCTTGCAGAACGAGGAGTTCACCAGGCGGACAAGGAATTCCAGGCAGAAGGAACAGCATGTCCAAAGGTATGGGGCTCTCCTTAGACTGCAAGGCGCTGAGTATGCTGGAGCACAGGGCATGTGTGGGGGCGGGCAGGAGGAGCACACAGGGCGGGCAAGGCCAGCTGGTGAAGAGCCTCACACGCCATTCCTGCAGAGGCGGGGCTTTGTCCTGCAGGCCACAGGGCGTCCCGGAAGGATTTGTGGAGTGGAGGGAAGTAACCAGATGTGCGTTTTAGAAAGATCCCTCTGGCTACGTGTGGAAGAGAATGGCGTGGAGGCAGGGAGACAGGGAGGAGGCTGTGGACAGAGTCGGGAGATGACGACGGTGGCCAGACCAGAGCCCTGGCAGTAACAATGGGGAGACTTAAAGCTAGAATCCCTGGGAGCAGGCTGCATGGTGGGGGAAGGAAAGGAAGAGACTTAGGACTCCCCGGCTCTGGCCTGAGGATGTACTCTGATCCTGCAGCCTTTGCCAGACCAGGGGTTACACAGAGCAGGTGGGGCAGGAAGAGTGCCCCAACTCCTCAGATATGACCAAACACCAACATCCACATGAGACACCCAGCAGGGACCTCACCCCAGGGTCCCTTCTCTGGATAAGTCACCCCCCACCCCTTCTATTTCAGGCAAGGCAGTACTCACCTCCGCTCGCCAGGGGGTGGCTTCTTGGGGCTTGCAGGTTTGGGCAAGGCCTGAGGGCCAGGCTTAGCAGGGGAGGAGGAGGAGGAAGAGGAGGAAGAAGATGAGGAGGAAGAGGAGGAAGAGGAGGAGGAGGAGGAGGAGGAAGAGGAGGAGGAGGAGGAAGATGACGAGGAGGAGGAGCTAGAACTGGAACTGCTAGAACGCCTCTTCCGTTTGGCTGGGGTTGGCTCTTGGGGACGTCCCTCTCGAACAGCCTCCTTTGGGGCCGGGGTGGGGCTGGGGACCCTGCAGGAGAAGAGGAGTGTCACAAGGAGACAAGCTGCCCCAGCCCCCACCCTACCCTCCTTGGTCTGGAGGAATGGCAGTGGGGGAGGGGTGCCTGAAGAAGGCCCTGGGAGCTCTCCCAGCCTTGAGGACACGAGCCAGTGAGCACGTTCTCTGGAGAGCAGTGGCCAGAGCTAGCCCAACCTCTGCTAACACAAGCAACAGGCTGGGGCCCGCAGCACTAGGGAGTCAAGGCTAAACCTCAAGAATGTCCCTGATGCAGGAATAAGGCCCTGGGTTCGCGTGCGGCAGCTGAAGCTAGGTGGTCTCCTTCCTGGGAGAGCCGCAGCTTGGGGAGGCCCCTGTGAGTGCAGGGTGGCTTGGGAGGGGCCGTCCTGCCTGGAGGCAGGGAGAGGGATGGGATGACCTCTGAAGATCCTTCCAGCCCAGGGAGTTCCTCTTGAGGTCTAACTGCCATCCCTCCTGCTGTAAAATTAAGTCCATTTCCTCTAGTTCTGTCCTCTGTAGAGACGGAAAACTTATCATTATCCTCTAGAGAATCAACCTTCGGAGACTTTCATCTGTCCCATTCCTCCCCCCTCAGCCCCCACCCAAACATTTTCTTCTACCCCAAGCTTCAAAGTCAAGGTCCCCCATACCTCCTCAAAGAGCCAAGAACCTCTGTGACACGGTTATCTCCCTCCCCACTCCCCCACCCAACCCCAACACCTTCCCCTAGAAAATTTCTTAGTCAAGTCCCCTCACCTCTTTAGTGCCACCTCAGGTTGAGGGGGAAGGCTAGAGCCCTCCGAGTCGCTAGAACTGGAGCCAGAAGAGGATGATGACGACGATGACGAGGAGGAGGAAGAGGAGGAGCTGGAGGAGGAGGAGGAGGAGGAGGAGCTCCGCCGCTCCTTTGCTGGCTGCAGGGCGGCCAATGCAGACTGCTGGGACCCAGGAGGTGATTCCCCACCCTCGGGGTGCGACACCCCTGGGGCAGGGCCAGAGAGCATGCCATTGTGGTCACCAGCGGAGGACATGGTCTTTGCCACTGCCCCAGAGGAAAGGGGCTGAGGGCCTGCTACAGAGGTGGTCTGGGCCATCAAAGAACGAGACTGGTCTGAAAAAGCAGACGGCACAGGGGACCTAGGCCTATCCTGCGCTGGAGGGAGAAGAGACTGTGAGGAGGTCTGGACCATTCTCGAGACAGGGGACGGGGCCCGCTCAGAGGTCATTCTAGATTGGCTAGGGACAGATGGCGGTGTTCTGGACCTAGCTCGGTCGAGGAGCTGTGGTGAGGTTCGCCCACTGACTCGCTCATAAGCAGAAAGAGGCACCCTGGGACTGGTGAGGTTTGCACCGGACAATGCTGGAGCCATCCTAGCACTGGTAAGACCTCCAGGAGCCAAGGCTGCAGGGGTCCTGGAGCTGGCAATATTCACAGGAGCCGCACTATGTGCAGACCGGGGACCCACCAGATTTGCAGGGGCTGGAGCCTGGGGTGTTCTGGAGCTGGAGGGGTAATTTGCAGCAGCTGGGGGCGTGCCCGAGCCTGTGAGGCTCAAAGCTGCCAAGGCTGCGGGGGTTCTGGCTCCTGCTAGGTTCACCGCTGAGGCTGCAGGGGTGCGAGGATCAGCAAGGTTCACAGCTGATGGTGCCACCGCCGTTCTGGGACTGGCCAAGTTCATAGCTGCTGCGGCAGCTGGTGTTCGTGAGTCAGCCAGGTTCACTGCTGTTGGAATGGCAGGTGTCCTGGCACTGGCCAGGTTCATGGCTGCTGCAGAGGCTGCAGGAATCCTGCTCGCAAGGTTGGCAGCTGGGGCCGTTCTGAGACTCATGAGAGGCACTGGAGCTGGAACCTGGGACATTCTTGCAGCAAGGCCAGCAGCAGACATGGACGGAGGTGGTCGGGCAGTGCCAAGACTGATGGCTGTCAGGGCAAGTGCAATCCTAGACTGGGCATGATTTTCTGGCACAGATGCTCTGGGATGATCAGGTATCCGCGGGCCGGGACCGTCCATCATGGAGCCACCCGCCTGCTGCAGGACAGACATGGGTGTTCTAGAGCTGCCGAGGGGTTCAAGCATTCCAGGTGACCGACAGCGGTCGAGAGGAGTTGGTGACATGCTAGGGCGACTGAAGCAGCTCATTCTGGAGCTGTTGAGTGCTACTGGAGGTGTCCGAGAACCAGAATGATTTCTCGTTGCCGGAGGAGTAGCAGAACGTGAACGATCTGAACTACTTCCAGACGCCGAGCGCCTGCGAATGGCTGGAGGAGACCGTGTTAAGGAACGCTTGCCTCGAGTTGTTCGTGGAGTACGGGACCTAGAACGGCGGCGGATAGCAAGTGGTGAGCGACTGCGGGACCGCTTGCGAGGCAGCAGCGGTGTGCGAGACCTAGAACGGCGCCGGATAGCTGGAGGTGTCCGAGACCTCGAGCGGCGGCGTGTCACGGGGGAGGTTCGGGAGCGAGACCTCCTCCGAGTGACTGGAGATGTGCGAGACCGAGACCTCCTGCGAGTGACGGGGGAGGTTCTGGATCTTGATCTTCTGCGAGTAATGGGCGAGGTTCTGCTCCGAGACCGCCTCCGGGTTACCGGGGGAGTCCTTGATCTGGATCTCCGGCGAGTCACTGGTGGAGTTCTGGACCGGGAGCGCCGGCGTGTTGTCGGTGTCCTGGACCTTGAACGGCGGCGGGTCACTGGTGGTGTTCTGGACCGGGACCGCCTTCGACTCACTGGAGATGCTCTTGACCGAGATCTTCGCCGAGTCACGGATGTCCTGGACCTCGACCGTCTCCGACTAACTGGTGAGGTCCGAGATCTGGACCTCCGCCGGCTGATCAGGGGTGTTCTGGACCTGGATCGCCGGTGAGTCGCTGGAGAGGCTCGAGATCTGGAGCGTTTCCACAAGGCTGGTGACGTGCGTGAGCGAGAACGCTTCCGGCTAGTTGGGGGTGTCCGAGAACGACCTCTTCGACGCCGGGAGGAGGTTCGAGAACTCTCCTGCCTGGCAGGTGACCTGGAGTGGTAACCAGAGCCTCCCCTCCGACGACGAGTAACCCGAGACCTCGACCGGCTGCGCTGCCTTCTCCGCGAGGTTGACTGAGACGAGCCAGACCTGTCTCGACGGCGGGCTGTTCTTGTCTTCTCCCTCCTCGAGCGGGAACGGGACCTCTGGAGTCCACGAGGCTTTGGTGAAGGAGAGCGGCCTCTCCTTGACGTTGTCTTGGTGCGTGGAGATGAAGCCGACCGCCGCCGGCGTGAAGACCTTGACTTCTCAGCCGGCTCTGGCGAAGACACTGAGGGACTTCTTCGGCGTCTCGGGGTCCTGGAGCGGGTTTCTGGTGAGGATGAGGCAGAGCGGCTTCTACGAGAGAGTCTGGCCTTCCTGGTCACCTCGGGCGATGATCGAGAACCGCGCCGTCGAGGTGGTGTGCGAGATTTGGTCTTGGGTTCTGGTGAGGACCTGGAGCCTCTTCGAGTAGCTCTTGATTTGGGCAGGTGCTCAGGAGAGGACTCCGAACTGCTGCTGCCTTCAGCAGAGGGACCTCTGTCTTTGCTCGAGGAAGCGGACCTGCTTCGTCTGGGCGGAGCCCGAGGGGCAGGAGTCTTGGGTTCTGGAGAAGAATCGGAACCACTCTGTGCCCTGGGCACCACTCTCGCCTTTTCCTTCACTTCGGGGGACGAAGCAGACCTACTGCGCCGAGAAGGCTGGGATTTGTCGTCCATCTCTGGAGACGATCCCGAGCGGCTCCTCTGCCTAAGTGGGACTCTTGTCTGGGCTTTAGAGTCCGGAGAAGAATCGGACTCACTTCTTTCCTGTGGGGATGTGCTGGGTTTCCCGTCAGGCTCCTGAGAAGATCCTGATCGACTTCTCTGTCCAAGGGGAGTTCTGGCCACAGTTTTCTGTTCGACGGATGATTCTGACCCACTTCTTTCTCTCTGAGGGGTAAGACACTTGTTGTTGAGCTCTGGGGATGATGGAGAACGACTCCTTGCTCTAGGAGTCTGAGGCAAAGCCTTGGGTTCTGGCGAGGAGTCACATTCGCTCCTCCCCCTGGAGGGTGTTCTAGGTGCATCCTTCATTCCAGGGGAGGAGCCAGACAGGCTGTGCCTTGAAGGAGTCCCAGACCTATCTCTAAGCCCTGGAGAAGACCCAGACCTGCTTCTCCTTGACGGAGTTCTGGGTAAGCCATCTTTTGGTTCGGAAGATGCAGAACTACTTCGTTCTCTTGAGGGTGTCCTAGGTACAGCATCCAGAACAGGCGAAGAGACACTCTGGTTTGAAGACATTCCTGCCTTTTCCATTGCGTCTGGGGACAACTCAGAACTGCTACGTCTAGAGGATCTTGTTGATTGTTCTTTCACATCCAGAGACGGTTCTGTCTCCAGCGGATTAAGGAAAGGTCCACTCAAATCTTCTTTAACATCAGGAGAAAACCCAGCATTCATTTCTGTAACAGGGCCTGAATTCCTAAATTCTAAAGGTGATCCAAAGCTATTTTCCCTGCCAGGTGAGTTAGACGGTTCTTTATGTTCTGGAGAAAACTGCGGTCCACCCCAAGATGAGGCCACTGCAGGGATTTCTACTGTTTCCAAAGCAGCCTGTGACTGGCTGTGGTCAAGAGCCAAAGATGCAGGCCTTTCTTCTACTTCAGGCGACAATCCAAAATTACTCCCGGCCACTTCTTTACGTTCTGGAGACAAATGGGGTAGGACTTGGATGGAAGGCTCTTCAGATTTCTCTGTCACTTCCATTAATTCCTCATCTTGAGTTGACTTAGTTAACAGACTATTTTGGTCTTTCACATCTGAAGGTGATCCACTGCCACTCCCTGGTGGAGTTCTTGGTGTGTCTTTAAGGACTGGTGAGGCCTCGGACCCGTCTTGCACCAGAGGACTAAATTTGTCTCTTGGCCTAGGAGATGATGCAGTAACATCCTCCTGAGAGGGTAAGGCTACTTTCTCTTTTGATTCAAAAAAGGGTTCTGATCTATTATTCTGCCCCAAAAGGGGCTTAGAGTCCACTGCAGGATATAAGAAAGAGTCCGACTGCGGCCTGCTCTGTTCAGGAGACATTCCTGCTTTCAGCCTAGGACTTAACAATTCACTTCTGTCGTGTCTTCCTGGAGACCTGGATGCCAGCTCACTGACCGGAGATGAGGACCTAGATCGGCAACCTTTAGGAGGCGTTTGAGATTTGCTCGGCAGAGATGGTGATTCTGAGTGAGTCTGCCTCACTTCTGGACTTGAAGTACCAGATCTGAGATCTGGTGAAATTTGAGATTGTCCTTTCTGTTGCAGAGCTGAGTCAAAATCACTCTCTTCTGGTGGTGTGCTAGATTTTACTCCTGGACAGAGAGAAAAGGACCCAGAGCAACTCTGTGCTGGTGTGTCTTTAGACTTCTCTTGGGGACCTGGTGACTTTGATCCAGTAAGACTTTGCCCTGGTGGAGTTTGGGGCTTTACTTTGGGATATGGAGAAGTACACCCTGAGTGGCTTTGTCTTGACGGCGTTCCAGGTTTCGCTTTGGCATCTGGTGACGAGGACCTAGAACGGCTGTGTCTTGGCAACAACCTAGATTCCACCTTGGAGCAAGGAGACACCGATCGGCCTTGCCTTGGAGGTGTTCTAGATGCCACCCTACTAGGACTCGGAGAAGAGGAGCCAGAACGGCTTCCCTGTCTGGGAGAGGATACAGTCAATACAGCCTTCACTTTTGGTTGTGGAGAGGACGACCTAGATGGGCTCCGTCCTGGAGGCGTGCTAGCCTTTATCTGAGGAGAAGACCCAGAGCAACTAGGTCTCAAAGGAGTCCCGGATTTCACCTCAGCATCAGGGGATGACTCTGAATGGCTCCGTCTCAGCGGTGTTGCAGACTGTTCGTTGGCCTGGGGACTTGTTACAGACCCTGGCCTGGGTGGTGTTCCGGACTTCACCTGAGGCTGAGGTGATAAACTAGAATGACTTTGTCTTGATGGCGTCTTAGACTTCTGTTTAGGCGGCGGTGGAGAACCAGAGCAACTCTGCCTTGTTGGGGTTACAGATTTCTCTTTAGGTTGCGATGATCCAGAGCGACTGCGCCTGGGTGGCGTCTGTGACTTCTGCTTAGGACACAGAGAGGACCCTGAAAGGCTTCGCCTCACAGACAAGCGAGATTTTGCTTTGGATCGGGGTGAAGAAACAGATCTGCTCCGCCGTGAGGAAATGCGAGACTTCTTCATTTCTGTGCTTGAGTTGGACCTGCTCCTCTGAGATGTTCTGGATTTGTTCTTCCTCTCTGAGGATGAGCCAGACCTGCCTCTTCTTTGCGGTGTTCTGGAGTGGGATCTCCCCCGTCTAGCCAGACTTCGACTGTGGGACCTGCCTCGCCTTGCTGGTGTTCTAGATCGAGACCGTCCTCTCCTGGCTGGGGTTCTGGATCGTGAGCGCCCACCACGTCTAGCTGGGGTTCTGGATCGTGAACGCCCACCACGTCTAGCTGGGGTTCTCGAGCGTGAGCGAGCACGCCTGGCTGGGGTTCTCGAGCGTGATCGGGCGCTTCTCCTTGCCGGCGATCTACTGCGAGACCGCCGCCGCACTGGAGATCGGGTTCTAGATCTGCGCCTGGCAGGCGTTCGAGAGCGAGACCTGCCCCTCCGGGCGGGTGTTCTGGATCTAGACCGGCGCCTGGCAGGTGTTCTAGATCTAGACCGGCGCCGGGCGGGTGTTCTGGAGCGGGACCTGCCCCGCCGGGCGGGTGTTCTAGAACGGGATCTGCCTCTAGTGGCTGGGGATCTAGAGTGGGACCTGCCTCGCCTTGCTGACCTTGACCTGCCTCTTCTCTGGGTATTTCTGCTCCTGGACCAGCCTGGTCGCTGAGGAGACCTAGAGCGGCCACGCCGCTGTGGACTCCTTGACCTTCCCCACCTCTGTGCAGACCGGGACCTCCGCCACTGAGGGGACCGGGACCGAGAATGACCTCTCTTGGCAGGGGTTCGAGACCGAGATCGCCCCCTCTTAGTAGCAGGGCTGCGGGACCTCGCTGCTCTCCGGGAAGGGGTATGAGAATGTGACTTCTCCCTCTTTGCTCGGCCATGGGAGCGATTCTTAGATGTAGGAGAGGAAGAAAGCTCTCGGCGGGCCCCAGGAGCTGGTGTAGGCTTAGGACTCTCAGGAGAAGAGCTGGCGTGCCGAGAGACTTTGGCAGGTTGAGGGGACGGTGGAGAGCTCTCGGAGGAAGATGGGGGAGGTTTTTCAGGAGACTTAGGTGGTGAACGGCCCCGGGTTGGGGAGGCCTCAGATGGGGGATTCACTGGCTCCTGACTCAAGGGGGTTGTTGCAAGAGGTTGTGGGGAGCTGCCATGTTGCTCAGCAAGGAGCGGAGTAGGAGCAGGTGGTTCTGGGCCTGTGCTGCTCCTTTCCGGAGAAGGGCTAGGTCGAGCTGCAGATTTCTGAGAGTGGAAGAGAGAGTAGGGATAGGGATATGTTAAGCACCAAAACTTCATACCACCTGTAGATCCAATACCCCTTCCAATGAACTTTTCTTCCATACACCCCGTTATATGAACTGATGAGTTTCCTCACAACAGGCTCACATGCATTCAACAACAGGATCATACAATAAAGCACAATGAAAAAACATGCACAGTCTGTGACCTCAAGAGTCTTATACTGTAGTGTCAAGCACAATGAAAAAATTTACACACTTCATTTAACAAATATCATTACAACAAGTTCTGAGAACATGAATAAGTGTTTTGAATGATAAAGCAGTTTCTCAAAATGCCAACTAACCTCACCCTTAAATAATAGCTATATTAAATTAAATGAAATAGCATGAACAAAGACAAAAGTCTGAGAAGTTGCTTTGTGTGAAAAATAAAAAACAAGACCAAATGGCCCCGGAGTACAGGAAAAGACAAAACTCTTAATACAACTCAAAAGCAATGCAAAGTAGATCAACATCCTGACGTGATCGAACAAATAATTGGAAAGCTTAACTCTAGGAGATGACAGCTAGATAACAAAGGTTAACAACTCACACTGTTATAACTGAAGCAAGAAGAAATGACTGGGGCTTGAATTACAACAGGGTGTATGAAACAATAGGCAGCAAAGACCAGGTCATAGTGTTTCAAACAGCTGGCAGCAACCCAGTGGGCTGAGAATTTGTAGTGAGCCCAACCAGTGTTTAATGAAATAGAGCAATCATCATTAAGCAGTAAACCTAAACAGTTTAAAGAAACTTGTGTTGCAGATCTTATATACACGTGTAAACAGAACAGTGACGTAAAACCTATTAACAGCCAGTGAGGTTTGAGTCTAAAGGATTTAACTCAGTCCCAATACTAAAGGACACGCAGGCACACAATACAACCTGGTAACTGAGAGGAAGGCAGCAAGAACGGGACCACACTTCTCAATAAGCTAAAGCCTTCTAGCAAACCAACAAACACCAATTAACTAAGGAACATACCTCCTTCTTGTCTTTGTCTTCCAAAGGACTACTAGGCTGCTTCGTGGAGGGCTCTGGGCTGCTAGGCCGTTGTACACTGGTGGTACCTGGCTCACTGGAAGGTGCATCTCCCTCCCCTTGATGCCCTGAAGCAGGGGAAGGACTTCGCCCAGTCAAGGCAGTTGTATGAGTTTTAGCTGCACCACTTCGAGACCTGAGGGAGTTAATTGAGGATGGGCGGAGGGAAAGAAAATCAGCTCAAGGGAGAACAGAAAACCCCCTCCCCAGCTCCCACCCATCTTTCCTAGCTAAGCAACCCTCTTTAAAACAAACACACCTTCTTAATCGTGGGATTTAAATCACTCAATGAAATCCAAGTTCAGTTAGCTTGAGTCGTTCTCTTCCCAACACAATCCCAAAGGAAGTTCTCCCTCTACCCCTTTATTCACCTCCCCCAAACATCCCCAATCCCTCCACCCAGCCCATTCCCTACCCACTTCATCCACAACTCACCTCTGAGCCCACCTCCTTCAGGAAGCCTTCCCCGATTAAGGAAGCCAGGGCAAGGATTCCTTCCTCCCCCAGACACCACGAACAAACCACCACCCCCCCTATTCTGGCAGTCCATATACATCAGAAAGAAACAAAAAAATAACAAACAAACAAAAGGAAAAAAAAAAAAAAAAAAAGAGAAGGGGAAATGTATATGTCTGTCCATCCTGTTGCTTTAGCCTGTCAGCTCCTAGAGGGCAGGGACCGTGTCTTCCGAATGGTCTGTGCAGCGCCTAGCACACCGTGGGCGCTCAATAAATATTAAATTGATTAACCCAGCAATTCCCTCTCCCCCCTTCCTCCTGGACTACCCCTTACCGACTACGGGAAGTATCAGAAGAAGAAGCAGAATCAGCAGAGGTTGACCGGTGGGCCCGGCGACTCTTGGGGGCTGGTGTTGTACTTCGAGACCTGAATGAAGACCAAGCACAGCTCAGGAAGCTGTCACACCTGCACTGGACTCTCCCTGCCCATCGCTCACCCCTCCCCAGTGCGGGACATGTTTCCCTATGCCCTCTCCCCATAAAGGAGCATGACACACTCACTAAGCAAGTTCTCTCAAGGTCACTTACCGCTTCCGTTTCTTGTCCTTAGATTTACGTTTGCTCTTTGGAGTGGGAGACCTGGGAAATAAGGCAAAGTTGTTAAAAGTACTTCCTAAAAAAGAAATAAAGTAAAGAATCAGAAGTATGGCTGACATCATAAAGGTTAAGGACTAAGCTTTACTCTCAGAAAAATAAGCCTCCCCAAGGCCAAACAAAGAACAAGCAAAACCATCAAGCAAAGGCTCACCACTCCCAATTGCCTCAATGTCCCTTGGAGTCAAAAAGCTCTTACCTATGCTTCCGTTTCTTTGATTCAGATTCTGATCTAATGGGAAAGGGGGGAGGGGAGAAAAAACATGAACCAACACCTACGCCTGCTCTCTGCCAACTCCTCCCAATCACTCGAAGGAATGCCACCTCATACCTGTGCTTCTTCTTCTTCGAGCTCTTCTTTCTCTCCCGTCGTGGAGAGCTGCTCTCTGACCTGCTGGAGTGAGTTCAGAAGCAAGGTCATTCGGCTTGACTTCTTTCCTGACAGCCCCACTGACAATCTACCCCAAGAAGGTTTCAAAAGCATCTGAGTAACCCCAACATCTACCTATGCCCCAGATATAAGCCCACCTTTTTTTTTTTTTTTTTTTTTGACAGGCAGAGTAGACAGTGAGAGAGAGAGAGAGAGAGAAAGGTCTTCCTTTTCTGTTGGTTCACCCTCCAATGGCTGCCACGGCTGGCGCACTGCGGCCGGCGCACGGCGCTGATCTGAAGGCAGGAACCAGGTGCTTCTCCTGGTCTCCCATGGGGTGCAGGGCCCAAGCACTTGGGCCATCCTCCACTGCACTCCCTGGCCACAGCAGAGAGCTGGCCTGGAAGAGGGGCAACCGGGACAGAATCCGGCGCCCGACCGGGACTAGAACCCGGTGTGCCAGCGCCATAGGCGGAAGATTAGCCTATTGAGCCACGGCGCTAGCCAGCCCACCACTTATTTCTAAAAAATGTTAACTCATTAAACCAACAAACCAAAAAATGAAAAGAACATTTCAGAAATCAAAAATGCTTCAAGCCAGTTCCTAATTGGCACAGCTGCAGACTCAACCCATCCCCACAGAGGCCACCTGCATTTCTCCTGCTAGCGGAGATCTGAATGGTTCATTCCCTTCTCTGAATTTCTTGACAGCTGTCTCCTGCTTACTGGAAGCAAGATTTCTCAACTCCCAGAGAAAAAGTAACATCACAGGAACAGGCCTACGGCTACTGGAGTAACTTCCCAAGTAACTTACCGTCCTCTGTCTTTCTTCTTTTTCTTCTTCTTTTGCTTTGGAGTGGGGGAGCGAGAACTGCTAGACTCTCGCACAAGGCTGGGGTGAGGTGGAAAGAAACAGAGCTGGATGTTAAAAAGCTTTTCTTAAACGTTTTAACTCAAGAGGAACAATATTTTTAGAATGTGGAAAGAAACAGTCCACAAAGGGAGAGGAAGTCTAGAAATCAGGGAGAGAGCTAATACTGCTAGCGTGGCCTCGAGTACCTGTAAGGTTTAGGAGGCTCAGGGGCTGCTTGTTTAGCCTCTCGAGCACGACGCTGAGGATCAAAAGAGCTGCCATCCACGTAGGAATCACTGATGCCAAAGGCAGCACGAAGTCGCTCATTCTTCTTCTCATTCAATTCTGCCAACTGGTGAGTCTCAGTTACCCTAGAGAGGAAAAGGGCAGAAGTATAAAGCGACAGAAAGCGAAATGCAGAACGAAATTGAGAACACAACAAGCAGGAGCCACACAGGCACTGGAAAAGGCAGACAAAGGCAGGGCAGAAGTCCCAGGGAAGGAGAGGACGACAGCAGCAGCATGGAGTCCAGAGGAATCAAGGGGAGTGTAACACTCACGCTGGCCTTTGCCCTGGGGTCTCCTCCTTGCCCCCGGGGTTCACATCCTTCTCGAGCAACATGAGTCGAAAGGTCGCCACTTTTTCCTGAATTTGTTGTTCCTCGTACCTGAAGGACAAATCCCTTCAGGGTTAGAGCCTGCCAGGACGCTTCACCCAGTCCCGGGTCTCCATTTCCCTCTTTCCCCACAGGGCCCCTTCCTTCTCCATGCACACAGAACTTTTCACTCTCTGTCACCCTAAACTCCCTTCTCTTAAGTCCTTCTGATCCTTTCTCTCATCTTTCTCCTCTATTTCTACGCCCTCTAGAACAGTGGATTTTAAACATACTAGACTTCAGGGGCCAAGAGAGGAAAGTTAAGCAGGCAGAGTTTCAAGTGCTCATCTACAACTTCAACAAAGTGGAACAAAGTCTTCCATTTCCTAGGATTCCAAAGTAAGATATATCATATAAAAGGAGCGCCACTGCTGAAGTTTGAAAACCACTGCTCTAAAAGGTTTTCTGCCTAAGTATGCTTCTTTTCCAAAATGCCACTTCCCTACTTAGCCCATAATTCTCTCATTCATAATTCTTAAGTATTCTTCCAATTTGTGTCTTACTGGCTTTGACTCTTTCCAAGGCCTCAATCCTTAAAGCGTTTACCTTCCTCTCTTCTATCAATGACACCTCGATCAGTTCAGCGAGCCCTTCTGCCTGGTCTCTGCTTTCTGGACTCTCCCTCAAAGCGTATTTTGTTCCTCGACGGCCCCCATTGCCCCGTGTACCTTGATCTAAATCCAGACTCGCTCAGGTTCCTAATTATGCCCAATTCCTCATTTCCCACTTCGCACTGTCCCTTAACTCCTCAATCTCTAGCTCATTCATCGCCTCCCCTACGAGTGCTCTCCAGGCCTCTACTCCCTACATCCCACCTAGCATCCAGCTCTGCACTCATTCAGTGCTTGGCTCTCCCCCAGGCCTCCCCTCACCCCTGCTCTTCCATCATCTCCTCCAGCTCGAGGCATCGCAGCTCCACGCGCCGCTTGCGCTCGTGGTCCAGGATGTCAGGATTAGGCCGCTTCACCAGGGCAGCCTCCAGGCGCCGCAGTTCCTCCTCTCCCTTGTAGTCAGGCCGCTCACCCCGGCGGCCCCGCACCAGGGACAGGTTGCGCTGGACGTAGCCGTTGGTGCCGCTGCCCCGGGCGTCGGCAGCCCGATCCCGTTGTACATGGCCCTGTGCCCGGGGGGCACCACCGCTCCTGGGGGGGAGCGGGGAGATACGGGTCAGGCCCCTGGCCCCAAACTAACCACCTACCACCACCCACATCCCTGCTCTCCTGCAC